AAATAATATTTTCACTCTTATCCAGATTGTTAACCCTCGCGGACTATGGCGACGCGAAGATTGAGAATCTTATTCCTACTCCTTACTCGTACCTTTTTCTGATCTGAGTTATCATGACAGTTTAGATCGTACCCACCATTATCACTTTGCCGCGTCGGTCTCTTATTCGTAGTGTCTTCTGCAATTCTCTGCTGCCTTTTGCCCTGAAACGATTCTCATAGTGGAGAGGCAAATTACCTTTTTTTTCTTCGTAAAAATAGCCTTTCTTTCCTTCATGCGACATGGTCCCGACTGGCGAGCCATCGCCTAAGCTGTCGGAGAGAAAGAAGGACGCGCTGGCGCAGGCGGGAAGGCGGAAGGTATGTGGCCGCGTTCGCATGACTAGTGTATTGACGTTAAGCAACGCATTCATTCAAGTGTATTACACGTTTCTGATTTCAAGCTTGTTCCCGACCTTGTCAATCTTCTATAACCCCCCTTTTTTTTCAAGCTCGCCTGTCACAGTTTTCCCGCATTCCGCCTAACGTTTCAAGTCCTCCGCTCGTCCCGCATCGTCCATTCTCTCCTTCTCACCCTCCCGTCCCCTCTTTTCCCAAATCTCGACGCAGCTTGAGGAGTATAAGCAGCGGAAACGAGCTGCTGTGGCGTGTACAGGGGCAGGAGCCAGTGGTATGCAGCAAGAACAAGGCACACGCGATCAGGTGTGCAGACGAGCAACCGTTTCCAGGCGTGTAGCAGGGCATCAGCACACGAGCAAGAAGGATATTGGGCCAGCAGAAAATCATGCGATGGGTGCTGGAGTACCAGAGTTAGAGCAACGCAGGAGCGCGTAGTGCTTTCGAGGAGCAGTAGTGCTGCAGCCAGTGCTAGCAGCAGCATTTTCGATCCCGAAGGTTCGTCTAATGAGGCGTCGAAATCACATCACGCTCATTCACACACTCACACACACATACCACACCCACCAGGCGTCGAAATCACAAGAGCAGATGTACGAAGCGGATGGCATTGGCAGCACCTTTCAACCTGCATCCATGCAACTGTACTGTGAACTCACTCTTTTTTTATTTCAATACCAACACACCCATGAGGTGTCGGAGCTACGAGAGAAGAGGTACGAGGCAGATGGCATTGGCAGCAGCAGCTGATGGCATCAGCTGACTATGCGACTGTGACCTCACACTCTCTTTTTTTCTCAACATTCGTGCTCCCACCCATCAGGTGTCGGAGCTACGAGAGAGGATGTATGAGGCGGATGGCATAGGCAGCACCATTCAACCTGCACTGCAATCATGCAACTGTTTGGTAAACTTACTTCCTTTTCATTTCAATACCCACCCACCCACACACCCATCCACACACCCACCCACACATCCACCCACCAGGTGTCGGAGCTACGAGAGAGGATGTATGAGGCGGATGTCATCGGCAGCAGTTATCTGATTCGAGTGGACGAGAATGTGGTGGTGAGTGGTAGGGGTGGTGTGGGATGTGGTGGTGAGTGGTGGAGAGGTAGTACTTTTGTTGTTTCATTTTGGATTGATGGTGTGGCATGGTTTTGGGGTTTCCAGGGCTGCTTGTAAGCTTACTGCTTGATTGTATCAAATCATTCTAAGAACCTTATATGCAGCTTAGCCCACCCTTATATGCAGCTAGGCACCTATCGAATGTAATGGCACATGGTATTGAATCGAGATACTTACTGTTGCTTCTGATACCAATTGCCCGGCCCTCCTTTCCTTTTCTTCTGTACTTAACACATACACTTATCCTCTGATCCTTTAATTCACCTCCCGATCCCTCTCCCCATCCTGTGCTTGCTCAGGTGGATGCCACTCGCAGCGGCGGCCTCGCTCGTTTCATCAACCACTCATGTGATGTGAGTGCATTTTCTTAGCCCCCTGAAACGAGACATTTTTTAGAGGAGCTGTAGAAACAAACCTATTAGATGTTTTAGCACGCGTTTGATGTTGGTGACATGTTTACAGCGACCTTATCTCCAATTCCTCACACAACCCCTTCTCTTTTCCGTATCCTCCTCTTCTTCCCCTCCCAGCCCAACTGTTACACCAAGGGGATAGTGGCAGACGGGCAGAAGCCGGTGCGCGGTGGACGGTGATGACGTTTCAGGTGTTCGTTCGAGGTCTCGATGGCGCCACCACGCTGCTCCACACCGATAGAGCCGTGATTTCCGGCGCTGACCTCAAGACCGCGTTGCGAAGTCGCCGCGCTCTTCCGCCGCTCTTAAGCGACAGAAGCGACGGCAGTTGCGACGCGTGCGATGGATGCGACCGATGCGACTCGTTCCGCGTCGTCACCGGGACGCGGGAGATCTCTGACACGTCGCTCCTCTCGGCTGACGCAGCAGGACTCTTCCCTTCGTGCCACATCATCGCGAGGGTTCTCGGAGGAAAGGGTGGCTTTGGGTCGCTGCTGCGCGGCGCCGCCACCAAAGCCGGGCAGAAAAAGACGAGCAATTTCGACGCGTGTCGCGATATGAGTGGCCGTCGTCTCCGCCACGTCAACGCCGAGCGTAAACTGAAGGATTGGCGGCACGAGGTGCGGGAACGACAGCTGGAAAAGACGGCGCAGGACTATTTGAAGCGACTCGCGAAGGAGAAGAAAAAGCGGCGCGAGGAGGTTGTGGATTTGGGCACGGTGCGCAAGGCCAGCCACGCCGCCATGGCGAGAGTCGCTGATGCGGTGAAGAGCGGTATGGAGCGGCACGGTCTGGATAAGGGGAAGCGGAAGCTGAGCGCGGAGGAGGAGGGGGAGGAGGAGGCGGAGCGGGCGCAGCAGGCGAAGCGAGGGAAACTTCTGTACGTTTCTTGACTGGGGGAATGGAGTGGGGAGGGAAGGAATGCGGGGGGGAACAGGAGATGGGGGGTTGGATAGGTGTTTACAAGGAAAAAAAGGCGGGAGGGAGGGGGAGGGGGGTGTGAATGGAAGGATATGCGGCTTGAGTTTGGAACTCCACTCCTGCTAACCCCGCTCTCCTCTTCCGTGTGCCTTGGTGGTTTGTCCGTTGCGATCTCCTGTGCGTGCACGTGTGTCGTTCCATGCGCTCTCACATGCCCATGCGTGTAACTCAATTTTCCACGTGTTCGTGTTCGTGTCCCTGCCCCTGTCCCTGTCCCTGCCCCTGTCCCTGTCCCTGTCCCTGCATTGCAGAGGCATGCTGGAGGATATTGAGGAGGGGGAGGACGACGAGGAGGAGGATGAGGAGGAAGGGGAAGAGGAAGAGGACAAAGAGGAGGAGGACGAAGAGGAGGAGGACGAAGAGGAGGAGGACGAAGAGGAGGAAGACGAGGAGCATGAGGAGGGAGAGCAGGGCACAGAAAAGGGAGGGGAGGAGGAGAGTGGAGGTGGTTCAAAGGAGGGGAGCGAGGGGAGTGGGGGTGCAGGGAGTGCGGGCAGTGCGGGCAAGGCAGTGGCACCACTGCACTCGTCTTCGTCTGATGAGGAGCGCGATGAAGCTTGCCATGCAAGTCGCTCACCTGCCGCCCACTTCTCGGCACTCCACCATCACGAGCCGCAGGCACAGCCGCAGCAGGTGCAGCCGCAGCAAAAAGTGCAAGAGCAGCAGCAGCAGCAGCAGCAGCAGCAGCAGCAGCAGCAGCAGCAGCAGCAGCAGCAGCAGCAGCAGCAGCAGCAGCAGCAGCAGCAGCAGCAGCAGCAGCAGCAGCAGCAGCAGCAGCAGCAGCAGAAGCAGGAGTCCCAACAACACCAGCAACAGCAGCCGCCCCCACCGCTGCAGACGCAGCAGACAGCAGCAGCAGCAGCAGCGGAGGGTCCCATCGACCTCTCACTGTTCCACTCGGCCACTGACCTGGAGGTGAGTGCTGGGTCCACCTGTGTGCTCCACGTGTGCTTCTGCCTTACGCCCCATGCCATGCCTGTCTCATTCTTACCCAGCCCCTTCCCTCCCCTCCCCTCCCCTCCCTGTACACTGCCCCACCCTTACTCTCCCACCTCTTCACGCCCATCATGTTCACCCTCCTCCCCTCCCACCTTCCCACCCTCCACCTCCCCTCCCCCCACTCTCTGTCTTTTCGCCATGCGGCAGCCGTTGGGGTTGGAGCGACTAAAAAGGGAGCTACAGCAGAGGGGGCTCAAGTGTGGCGGCACCCTGAGCGAGCGAGCAGCGCGGCTCTTCCTACTCGCCAGCACGCCTCTGGACCAGTTAGACCCCAAATACCTGGCTGGGGCTGCTGGAGGTGGTAAAGGCCGCAAGGGCAAGGGCAAGCTGTGACTGGGAGAGAGGTTAGCAGCGCGGCTCTTCTGCTCGCCAGCACGCCTCTGGACCAGTTGGATCCCAAACTCCTGTCTGGAGGGGCTGCTGCCGCTGCTGGCAAGGGGCGCAAGGGCAAGGGCAAGGGCAAGGAGTGACTGGCTGGGTGGTGGGATGCAGTGTTGTGTTGTGAGAGGCTGGAAGCTGGTGGTTGCCTGCTGTAGATAGCTATTGCTGGCAGTGCCTGCTAGGCAGGTGTGCTGCTGGTTGGTGCTTCTGATTCTTGTGGCAGCACTGTGGTGAATATCCTTGCCTGCCTGCCCACATGGCCCCTGCTTTTTATTTCTGCTTGCAGTGCTTTCAATCAACTCGTGTTTGGGAGTTCCTTTTTGTTACTGCCTGTTTCAGCTTTACACTGCACACTTTCCAAAGCTGCACTTGTATATTTGAATTCCAATACATTTTCTATTCATTAACACCAAAACACTACGTACGTAGGTATCATGCCCTGAAACTGGCTTGTGCTGTGCTGCACTAATAACCTATAGTGTGCTGCACTGCAGTGCACTGTAACATACTGTACTGTGCCACTTACGTGGCATAACAAAAAATCGAATGCATTCCAAACTGGCAAGGCGGATGGCCTCCGGGCGTACCCCGCGAACTGGTAAGGGGAAAGGCTCGGTGGTTGGTCGAGGAAAGGCTTGGTGGCTGGTCGGGGAAAGGCTGGATGAGTCCAGTTGGATAAATGGGGCTCGCGGGGATGCGTGTGCTACCGCAACACACGAGTGGCTCGATTAGACTGCAGGGGCATGAGAGGAGAGGAGGGAGGAATGGGGTTGGAGGGGGCGTTACCATTACATGTACGCCAAGGCACACGACCCATAGCACATGGCACATGGGGCAAGATGGCACATGGTATGATGGTACATGGGACAAGATGGCACATGGTAAATGGTACATGGGACATGGCACATGGAACACTGCCTATGACGTATGGTAGGTGGCACATGACCCATGGCAGCTCACCTTCTTGCAGTACTTGGCTCGGATCTTGATGGCGAGGTGCACACACGATGCCACATCCAACACCAACTCCACATCGTTGAACATCTGGCAGAGAGGGGGTATGATGTGGGGAAAGGTGGGGTAGGAGAGAGGGAAACACCCAAATGGAGTGGTGAGGGGAGAGTGGAGTGTGGGTGCACACACGATGCCACATCCAACACCAGCTCCACATCGTTGAACATCTGGCAGAGAGGGGGTATGATGTGGGGAAAGGTGGGGTAGGAGAGAGGGAAACACCCAAATGGAGTGGTGAGGGGAGAGTGGAGTGTGGGTGCACACACGATGCCACATCCAACACCAGCTCCACATCGTTGAACATCTGGCAGAGAGGGGGTATGATGTGGGGAAAGGTGGGGTAGGAGAGAGGGAAACACCCAAATGGAGTGGTGAGGGGAGAGTGGAGTGTGGGTGCACACACGATGCCACATCCAACACCAGCTCCACATCGTTGAACATCTGGCAGAGAGGGGGTATGATGTGGGGAAAGGTGGGGTAGGAGAGAGGGAAACACCCAAATGGAGTGGTGAGGGGAGAGTGGAGTGTGGGTGCACACACGATGCCACATCCAACACCAGCTCCACATCGTTGAACATCTGGCAGAGAGGGGTATGATGTGGGGAAAGGTGGGGTAGGAGAGAGGGAAACACCCAAATGGAGTGGTGAGGGGAGAGTGGAGTGTGGGTGCACACACGATGCCACATCCAACACCAGCTCCACATCGTTGAACATCTGGCAGAGAGGGGGTATGATGTGGGGAAAGGTGGGGTAGGAGAGAGGGAAACACCCAAATGGAGTGGTGAGGGGAGAGTGGAGTGTGGGTGCACACACGATGCCACATCCAACACCAGCTCCACATCGTTGAACATCTGGCAGAGAGGGGGTATGATGTGGGGAAAGGTGGGGTAGGAGAGAGGGAAACACCCAAATGGAGTGGTGAGGGGAGAGTGGAGTGTGGGTGCACACACGATGCCACATCCAACACCAGCTCCACATCGTGAACATTTATGGAGGGAAGGGGAGTGGGGGTTGTGGGGGGATGGGGAGAAGACGAGGGTGGAGCAGGGGGGAGTAGAGAGGAGGAAAACGCCCAGAAGCATTGATACGCGGAGAGTGCAGTGTGGCACGACGCCAAATCCAGCACCAGCTCCACATCGTGAACATCTGAGAAGAGCAACGGCAGACAGTGGAGCATTGTTGATGGTGCAGCATAGTGGGAGCGGCGGGAGTTTGGGTTGTAGAGAGGGACGTGCATGAGGGCGAGCAGAGAGGGACGTGCATGAGGGCGAGCAGAGAGGGACGTGCATGAGGGCGAGCAGAGAGGGACGTGCATGAGGGCGAGCAGAGAGGGACGTGCATGAGGGCGAGCAGAGAGGGACGTGCATGAGGGCGAGCAGAGAGGGACGTGCATGAGGGCGAGCAGAGAGGGACGTGCATGAGGGCGAGCAGAGAGGGACGTGCATGAGGGCGAGCAGAGAGGGACGTGCATGAGGGCGAGCAGAGAGGGACGTGCATGAGGGCGAGCAGAGAGGGACGTGCATGAGGGCGAGCAGAGAGGTGACTGTGAGAGCAGAGAGGTGACTGTGAGAGCAGAGAGGTGACTGTGAGAGCAGAGAGGTGACTGTGAGAGCAGAGTGCGGGGCGCACCTTGATGGCTTCGTCTGAGCCCTCCACCTGCAACAGCCTCTTCCTGTTGGCTCTCAAAATGGCCGCCACACAGAACACTGCTAGGTCCTCATCCCCCACCCTCGCCTCCCCCCACCGCGACATCCCCCTTCCCCCTGCCCCCTCCGCTCCCCCCACTCCCCCCATGCCCCCCCCCATGCTCCCCCCCTTGCGCCCAGACCTCTTCCCCAGCCCCAGGGCAAGCACCGGGGGGAGGGACGGGGGGATGGGGGGCATGGCGGGGAAGGGGGAGGGGTCGGGATGGGTCGGGGGGAGGGAGGAATGTGCGGAGTGTGCAGGGTGTTTGGGGGAGGAGTTGGGGGCGGTGGAGGGGGGTTGGAGAGGGGGCAGGCCGGCGGACCAGGCGAGGGGTTCCGCTGCCAGGGAGAGGCCTTCGGGGGGGTGGTGCAGCAGCACTGCTGCCATGCGCGGATCGTAGTCTGCCGCCCACATCATCTGGGGGGGTGGGGAACATGGGTGACAGACAGGGGACAGGGGACAGCGGACAGGGGGCAACTGGGGTTGAGGAGTCTTTCTGAGGCCCCTCAACAACTGATTCGGCTGCCAGGCAGAGGCCTTCGGGGGATGGTGCAGCAGCACTGCTGCCATGCGCGGATCGTAGTCCGCTGCCCACATCATCTGAAGGGAGGGGAGTTTGGAGATGGGACACGGGAGCGCAGGCAGGGAGGGAGCGAAAGCAAGAGGGAGTCAAGGAAATCAAGGGAACCCAAATCCGCATACAACCTGAAACACAACACGTGTGAACGCACCTCCCACATGACGATCACATCCAGCAGCGGCAGCTATCTCCTAAAGAGCACGAGCAGCATGCGAAAGGCGAACATGAAGTTGTAGGCGCGAGAGAGACACTACTCGCCTCCCCTGTAACCCACCTTCTATCCAACCCCCCTCCACCTTCCCTTGCACCCACCTCCCACATAACGATGACATCCAACAAGGGAAGTTCTCTCCTAAAGAGCACGAGCAGCATGCGAAAGGCGAACATGAAGTTGTAGGCGCGAGAGAGACACTACTCGCCTCCCCTGTAACCCACCTTCTATCCAACCCCCCTCCACCTTCCCTTGCACCCACCTCCCACATAACGATGACATCCAACAAGGGAAGTTCTCTCCTAAAGAGCACGAGCAGCATGCGAAAGGCGAACATGAAGTTGTAGGCGCGAGAGAGACACTACTCGCCTCCCCTGTAACCCACCTTCTATCCAACCCCCCTCCACCTTCCCTTGCACCCACCTCCCACATAACGATGACATCCAACAAGGGAAGTTCTCTCCTAAAGAGCACGAGCAGCATGCGAAAGGCGAACATGAAGTTGTAGGCGCGAGAGAGACACTACTCGCCTCCCCTGTAACCCACCTTCTATCCAACCCCCCTCCACCTTCCCTTGCACCCACCTCCCACATAACGATGACATCCAACAAGGGAAGTTCTCTCCTAAAGAGCACGAGCAGCATGCGAAAGGCGAACATGAAGTTGTAGGCGCGAGAGAGACACTACTCGCCTCCCCTGTAACCCACCTTCTATCCAACCCCCCTCCACCTTCCCTTGCACCCACCTCCCACATAACGATGACATCCAACAAGGGAAGTTCTCTCCTAAAGAGCACGAGCAGCATGCGAAAGGCGAACATGAAGTTGTAGGCGCGAGAGAGACACTACTCGCCTCCCCTGTAACCCACCTTCTATCCAACCCCCCTCCACCTTCCCTTGCACCCACCTCCCACATAACGATGACATCCAACAAGGGAAGATCTCTCCTAAAGAGCACGAGCAGCATGCGAAAGGCGAACATGAAGTTGTCGGCGCCCAGCTCCTCCAGGTGCGAGGCCAGCTCAGGGTCCACCAGCGCCACCACGTCTCGTAGGACAGCTAGCTGCCGCAGTATGCCCACCGGGCCTTCTGTGAGAAAGTTGTGGCGCTGCGAGGGGGAGGGAGGCAGAGGAAGGGAGTGGGGGTGGGGAGGGGGCAGGGGAAGGCGAAGGCCAGCTCGGGGTCCACCAGCGCCACCACGTTCCTCAGCACCGCCAGCTGCCGCAGGATGCCCACAAGGCCTTCTGTCAGGAAGTTGTGGCGCTGGTAGAGGAAAAGGGAGTGGGAAGGGAGGGGGAGGGGAAGTGAGTGAAGGACGAGAGAGTGTAATAATTGCAAGTTGAGTGTCCAACATTCTCGTGTCCAACATTCTCGAGTCCAACATTCATGAGTGTCCAACATTCTCTCGTGTCCGACATTCTCGTGTCCAACATTCTCGTGTCCAACATTCTCGAGTCCAACATTCTCAAGTCCAACATTCTCGAGTCCAACATTCTCGAGTCCAACATTCTCGAGTCCAACATTATTGAGTCCAACATTATCGTGTCCAACATTATCGTGTCCAACATTCTCGAGAGTCCAACATTCTCGTGTCCAACATTTTCGAGTCCAACATTTTCGAGTCCAACATTCTCGTGTCCAACATTCTCAAGTTCAACATTCTCGTGTTCAACATTCTCGTGTCCAATATTATCGAGTCCAACATTATCGAGTCCAACATTCTCGAGTCCAACATTCTCGAGTCCAATATTCTCGAGTGTCCAACATTCTCGAGTGTCCAATATTCTCGTGTCCAGTATTCTCGTGTCCAACATTCTCTTGTCCAACATTCTCGTGTCCAACATTTTCAAGTCCAACATTCTCGATTCCAACATTCTCTAGTCAAACATTCTCGTGTCCAACATTCTCATGTTCAACATTCTCGTGTCGAACATTCTCGAGTGTCCAACATTCTCGAGTCCAACATTCTTGAGTCCAACATTCTCGAGTCCAACATTCTCCAGTTCAACATTCTCAAGTCCAACATTATCGTGTCGAACATTCTCGTGTGTCCAACATTCTCGTGTCCAACATTTTCGAGTCCAGCATTCTCGTGTCCAACATTCTCGTGTCCAACATTCTCGAGTCCAACATTCTCGTGTCCAACATTCTCATGTGTTCAACATTCTCGTGTCCAACATTCTCGTGTTCAACATTCTCGATTCCAACATTCTCGAGACAAACATTCTCGTGTCCAACATTCTCATGTTCAACATTCTCGTGTCGAATATTTTCGAGTGTCCAACATTCTCGAGTGTCCAACATTCTCGAGTCCAACATTCTCGAGTCCAACATTCTCGAGTCCAACATTCTCCAGTCCAACATTCTCAAGTCCAACATTATCGTGTCGAACATTCTCGTGTGTCCAACATTTTCGAGTCCAACATTCTCGTGTCCAACATTCTCGTGTCCAACATTCTCGAGTCCAACATTCTCGTGTCCAACATTCTCATGTGTCAAACATTCTCGTGTCCAACATTCTCGTGTTCAACATTCTCGAGTCCAACATTCTCGAGTCTAACATTCTCGAGTGTCCAACATTCTCGTGTCCAACATTCTTGTGTCCAACATTCTCGTGTCCAACATTCTCGCGTCCAATATTCTCAAGTCCAACATTCTCGAGTCCAACATTCTTGAGTGTCCAACATTCTCGAGTCCAACATTCTCGAGTCCAACATTCTCTCGTGTCCAACATTCTCGTGTCCAACATTCTCGTGTCCAACATTCTCGAGTCCAACATTCTCGTGTCCAAAATTCTCGTGTCCAACATTCTCGAGTGTCCAACATTTTCGAGTCCAACATTCTCGAGTTCAACATTCTCGAGTCCAACATTCTCGAGTCCAACATTCTCGAGTCCAACATTCTCGTGTCCAACATTCTCGTGTCCAATATTCTCGTGTCCAATATTCTCGTGTCCAACAATCTCGTGTCCAACATTCTCGAGTCCAACACTATCGTGTCCAACATTCTCAAGTCCAACATTCTCAAGTCCAACATTCTTGAGTGTCCAACATTCTCGTGTCCAACATTCTTGAGTCCAACATTCTTGAGTGTCCAACATTCTCTCGTGTCCAACATTCTCAGGTCCAACATTCTCGTGTCCAACATTCTCGAGTCCAACATTCTCGAGTCCAACATTCTCGAGTCCAACATTCTCGTGTCCAACATTCTCCTGTTCTATATTCTCGTGTCCAATATTCTCGTGTCCAACAATCTCGTGTCCAACATTCTCGAGTCCAACATTATCGTGTCCAACATTCTCGAGTCCAACATTCTCAAGTCCAACATTCTTGAGTGTCCAACATTCTCGTGTCCAACATTCTTGAGTCCAACATTCTTGAGTGTCCAACATTCTCTCGTGTCCAACATTCTCGTGTCCAACATTCTCGTGTCCAACATTCTCGAGTCCAACATTCTCGAGTCCAACATTCTCGAGTCCAACATTCTCGTGTCCAACATTCTCCTGTTCTATATTCTCGTGTCCAATATTCTCGTGTCCAACAATCTCGTGTCCAACATTCTCGAGTCCAACATTATCGTGTCCAACATTCTCGAGTCCAACATTCTCAAGTCCAACATTCTTGAGTGTCCAACATTCTCGTGTCCAACATTCTCGAGTCCAACATTCATGAGTGTCCAACATTCTCTCGTGTCCGACATTCTCGTGTCCAACATTCTCGTGTCCAACATTCTCGAGTCCAACATTCTCAAGTCCAACATTCTCGAGTCCAACATTCTCGAGTCCAACATTCTCGAGTCCAACATTATCGAGTCCAACATTATCGTGTCCAACATTATCGTGTCCAACATTCTCGAGAGTCCAACATTCTTGTGTCCAACATTGTCGAGTCCAACATTTTCGAGTCCAACATTCTCGTGTCCAACATTCTCAAGTTCAACATTCTCGTGTTCAACATTCTCGTGTCCAATATTATCGAGTCCAACATTATCGAGTCCAACATTCTCGAGTCCAACATTCTCGAGTCCAATATTCTCGAGTGTCCAACATTCTCGAGTGTCCAATATTCTCGTGTCCAGTATTCTCGTGTCCAACATTCTCGTGTCCAACATTCTCGTGTCCAACATTTTCAAGTCCAACATTCTCGATTCCAACATTCTCTAGTCAAACATTCTCGTGTCCAACATTCTCATGTTCAACATTCTCGTGTCGAACATTCTCGAGTGTCCAACATTCTCGAGTCCAACATTCTCGAGTCCAACATTCTCGAGTCCAACATTCTCCAGTTCAATATTCTCAAGTCCAACATTATCGTGTCGAACATTCTCGTGTGTCCAACATTCTCGTGTCCAACATTTTCGAGTCCAGCATTCTCGTGTCCAACATTCTCGTGTCCAACATTCTCGAGTCCAACATTCTCGTGTCCAACATTCTCATGTGTCCAACATTCTCGTGTCCAACATTCTCGTGTTCAACATTCTCGATTCCAACATTCTCGAGACAAACATTCTCGTGTCCAACATTCTCATGTTCAACATTCTCGTGTCGAATATTTTCGAGTGTCCAACATTCTCGAGTGTCCAACATTCTCGAGTCCAACATTCTCGAGTCCAACATTCTCGAGTCCAACATTCTCCAGTCCAACATTCTCAAGTCCAACATTATCGTGTCGAACATTCTCGTGTGTCCAACATTTTCGAGTCCAACATTCTCGTGTCCAACATTCTCGTGTCCAACATTCTCGAGTCCAACATTCTCGTGTCCAACATTCTCATGTGTCAAACATTCTCGTGTCCAACATTCTCGTGTTCAACATTCTCGAGTCCAACATTCTCGAGTCTAACATTCTCGAGTGTCCAACATTCTCGTGTCCAACATTCTTGTGTCCAACATTCTCGTGTCCAACATTCTCGCGTCCAATATTCTCAAGTCCAACATTCTCGAGTCCAACATTCTTGAGTGTCCAACATTCTCGAGTCCAACATTCTCGAGTCCAACATTCTCTCGTGTCCAACATTCTCGTGTCCAACATTCTCGTGTCCAACATTCTCGAGTCCAACATTCTCGTGTCCAAAATTCTCGTGTCCAACATTCTCGAGTGTCCAACATTTTCGAGTCCAACATTCTCGAGTTCAACATTCTCGAGTCCAACATTCTCGAGTCCTACATTCTCGAGTCCAACATTCTCGTGTCCAACATTCTCGTGTCCAATATTCTCGTGTCCAATATTCTCGTGTCCAACAATCTCGTGTCCAACATTCTCGAGTCCAACATTCTCGGGTCCAACATTCTCGAGTGTCCAACATTCTCGTGTCCAACATTCTCGTGTCCAACATTCTCGTGTCCAACATTCTCGAGTCCAATATTCTCAAGTCCAACATTCTCGAGTCCAACATTCTTGAGTGTCCAACATTCTTGAGTGTCCAACATTCTCGTGTCCAACATTCTCGTGTCCAACATTCTCGAGTCCAACATTCTCGTGTCCAAAATTCTCGTGTCCAACATTCTCGAGTGTCCAACATTTTCGAGTCCAACATTCTCGATTTCATTATTCTCGAGTCCAACATTCTCGAGTCCAACATTCTCAAGTCCAACATTCTCGTGTCCAACATTCTCGTGTTCAATATTCTCGTGTCCAATATTCTCGTGTCCAACAATCTCGTGTTCAACATTCTCGAGTCCAACATTATCGTGTCCAACATTCTCGAGTCCAACATTCTCAAGTCCAACATTCTTGAGTGTCCAACATTCTCGTGTCCAACATTCTCGAGTCCAACATTCTTGAGTGTCCAACATTCTCTCGTGTCCAACATTCTCGTGTCCAACATTCTCGTGTCCAACATTCTCGAGTCCAACATTCTCGAGTCCAACATTCTCGAGTCCAACATTCTCGAGTCCAACATTGTCGAGTCCAACATTATCGAGTCCAACATTATCGTGTCCAACATTATCGTGTCCAGCATTCTCGAGAGTCCAACATTCTGGTGTCCAACATTGTCGAGTCCAACATTTTCGAGTCCAACATTCTCGTGTCCAACAGTCTCAAGTCCAACATTCTCATGTCCAACATTCTCGTCTCCAATATTATCGAGTCCAACATGATCGAGTCCAACATTATCGAGTCCAACATTCTCGAGTCCAATATTCTCGAGTGTCCAACATTCTCGAGTGTCCAATATTCTCGTGTCCAATTTTCTCGTGTCCAACATTCTCGTGTCCAACATTCTCGAGTCCAATATTCTCAAGTCCAACATTTTCGAGTCCAACATTCTTGAGTGTCCAACATTCTTGAGTGTCCAACATTCTCGTGTCCAACATTCTCGTGTCCAACATTCTCGAGTCCAACATTCTCGTGTCCAAAATTCTCGTGTCCAACATTCTCGAGTGTCCAACATTTTCGAGTCCAACATTCTCGATTTCATTATTCTCGAGTCCAACATTCTCGAGTCCAACATTCTCAAGTCCAACATTCTCGTGTCCAACATTCTCGTGTTCAATATTCTCGTGTCCAATATTCTCGTGTCCAACAATCTCGTGTTCAACATTCTCGAGTCCAACATTATCGTGTCCAACATTCTCGAGTCCAACATTCTCAAGTCCAACATTCTTGAGTGTCCAACATTCTCGTGTCCAACATTTTCGAGTCCAACATTCTTGAGTGTCCAACATTCTCTCGTGTCCAACATTCTCGTGTCCAACATTCTCGTGTCCAACATTCTCGAGTCCAACATTCTCGAGTCCAACATTCTCGAGTCCAACATTCTCGAGTCCAACATTGTCGAGTCCAACATTATCGAGTCCAACATTATCGTGTCCAACATTATCGTGTCCAGCATTCTCGAGAGTCCAACATTCTGGTGTCCAACATTGTCGAGTCCAACATTTTCGAGTCCAACATTCTCGTGTCCAACAGTCTCAAGTCCAACATTCTCATGTCCAACATTCTCGTCTCCAATATTATCGAGTCCAACATGATTGAGTCCAACATTATCGAGTCCAACATTCTCGAGTCCAATATTCTCGAGTGTCCAACATTCTCGAGTGTCCAATATTCTCGTGTCCAATTTTCTCGTGTCCAACATTCTCGTGTCCAACATTCTCGTGTCCAACATTTTCGAGTCCAACATTCTCGATTCCAACATTCTCGAGTCAAACATTCTCGTGTCCAACATTCTCGTGTTCAACATTCTCGTGTCTAACATTTTCGAGTGTCCAACATTCTCGAGTGTCCTACATTCTCGAGTCCAACATTCTCGAGTCCAACATTCTCGAGTCCAACATTCTCCAGTCCAACATTCTCAAGTCCAACATTATCGTGTCCAACATTCTCGAGTCCAACATTCTCGTGTCCAACATTCTCATGTGTCCGACATTCTCGTGTCCAACATTCTCGTGTCCAACATTCTCGAGTCCAACATTCTCGGGTCCAACATTCTCGAGTGTCCAACATTCTCGTGTCCAACATTCTCGTGTCCAACATTCTCGTGTCCAACATTCTCGAGTCCAATATTCTCGAGTCCAACATTCTCGAGTCCAACATTCTTGAGTGTCCAACATTCTTGAGTGTCCAACATTCTCGTGTCCAACATTCTCGAGTCCAACATTCTCGTGTCCAAAATTCTCGTGTCCAACATTCTCGAGTGTCCAACATTTTCGAGTCCAACATTCTTGATTTCATTATTCTCGAGTCCAACATTCTCGAGTCCAACATTCTCAAGTCCAACATTCTCGTGTCCAACATTCTCGTGTTCAATATTCTCGTGTCCAATATTCTCGTGTCCAACAATCTCGTGTTCAACATTCTCTCGTGTCCAACATTCTCGTGTCCAACATTCTCGTGTCCAACATTCTCGAGTCCAACATTCTCGAGTCCAACATTCTCGAGTCCAACATTCTGGAGTCCTACATTCTCGAGTCCAACATTATCGTGTCCAACATTATCGTGTCCAACATTCTCGAGAGTCCAACATTCTTGTGTCCAACATTGTCGAGTCCAACATTTTCGAGTCCAACATTCTCGAGTCCAACATTCTCAAGTCCAACATTCTCGTGACCAACATTCTCGTGTCCAACATTCTCGTGTCCAACATTCTCGAGTCCAACATTCTCGTGTCCAACATTATCGAGTCCAACATTATCGAGTCCAACATTCTCGAGTCCAACATTCTCGAGTCCAATATTCTCGAGTGTCCAACATTCTCGAGTGTCCAATATTCTCGTGTCCAATATTCTCGTGTCCAACATTCTCGTGTCCAACATTCTCGTGTCCAACATTTTCGAGTCCAACATTCTCGATTCCAACATTCTCGAGTCAAACATTCTCGTGACCAACATTCTCGTGTTCAACATTCTCGTGTCCAACATTTTCGAGTGTCCAACATTCTCGGGTGTCCAACATTCTCGAGTCCAACATTCTCGAGTCCAACATTCTCGAGTCCAACATTCTCGAGTCCAACATTCTCGAGTCCAACATTTTCTCGACTCCAACATTCTCGAGTCCAACATTCTCGAGTCCAACATTATCGTGTCCAACATTATCGTGTACAACATTCTCGAGAGTCCAACATTCTTGTGTCCAACATTGTCGAGTCCAACATTTTCGAGTCCAGCATTCTCATGTCCAACATTCTCAAGTCCAACATTCTCGTGTCCAACATTATCGAGTCCAACATTATCGAGTCCAACATTTTCGAGTCCAATATTCTCGAGTGTCCAACATTCTCGAGTGTCCAATATTTTCGTGTCCAATATTCTCGTGTCCAACATTCTCGTGTCCAACATTCTCGTGTCCAACATTTTCGAGTCCAACATTCTCGATTCCAACATTCTCGAGTCAAACATTCTCGTGTCCAACATTCTCGTGTTCAACATTCTCGTGTCCGACATTTTCGAGTGTCCAACATTCTCGAGTGTCCAACATTCTCGAGTCCAACATTCTCGAGTCCAACATTCTCGAGTCCAACATTCTCGACTCCAACATTCTCGAGTCCAACATTCTCAAGTCCAACATTATCGTGTCCAACATTCTCGTGTGTCCAACATTATCGTGTCCAACATTTTCGAGTCCAACATTCTCGTGTCCAACATTATCGTGTCCAACATTCTCGTGTCTGCGTGACCAGTGAGGACCACTGAACTCCGCCCTCCAAGCACGAGCCCCATGCCCGACGTACTGCACAAGTAGCGCAACACCCTCTTCGCTGCAGCCATGTGCTCTGGTCGGTGTCTCCCAGGAGCAACATAGCGTGCCAAGATGCTAAGAGGGTATGCCAGGTCAGGTCGAGTGCAGGTCATCAGGTACATGAGGCAGCCAACAAGCCCTGGGTACGGGCCACTCGGCTCTACGGACTCATCCGAAGGCAGAGCTGAGAGCGAGTGGCGAGTAGACAGAGGAGTGGCCTGAGGCGAGGAGTACGTGAAGTCGAAGCGCTGAAGGGCCTGCTGCACCATGTGTGACTGAGTCAGGGTAATGGTGCGCCGTGCTCTGTCCCGGGTGATCTGCAAGCCAAGATAGCTGCGCAGTTCACCCAGGTCTGTGCACGTGTGTCTCTTCTGCAGCTCAGACTTTACGTGGGCGAGTCCAGCAGTGTCAGCAGTAGCAAAGACCAAGTCGTCGACGTACACGAGGATGTAGAACGGCGGCAAAGAGGTGTCGGTGTGCGTAGAAACAGCGACGGGTCGGCAGTAGAAGGAGCAAACCCAAGTGCCGCAAGTGTAGTCCTCAGTGTGTCGTGCCACTCACGGGGCGCCTGGCGGAGACCGTAGACTGGCCGCCGGAGGCTCCACTGGGTACCAGGAGGAAACGACCCAGTGAAGCCAGGTGGGCGGCGCAGCCAGATCTCCTCGTGCAGGCTGCCCTGTAGGAAAGCAGTGCTGAAGTCAAGAGACTGAAGCTCGTAGTCGCGCTGAGCGGCTATGTGCAGCAGCACCCGAAGAGTGGTCATCTTCGGGGTGGGAGAGAAGGTCTGAAAGTAGTTAACTCCCTGCCGCTAACTGAAGCCTCGAGCCACGTAACGCGCCTTGAAGACAGGCGGAGAACCCGGCGGCCGCTTCACCCTGAAAATCCACATGGCACTGACGATGTTCGCCCCAGGTGGGGGAACCTCGTCGACATAGGTGTCTGTGGACTTCCGGGAAGCCATCTCTGCGTCCATGGCTGACTGCCACTGAGAGGAGTAGGGACCCTCTATCGCCTCTGCGTAAGAGCGCGGGGTCGGGATGTCTGGTGCATCCGGGTCTCCCTCAGGGGCAACTAGCATGGACACGAGATGAGGTAAAGCAGCAGAAAAGCACTGGAACTCCTCCTGCCTGTCCTCAAGGACGTCCGTGCTAAGAGCACACTCACCCCCGACGGACGGAGGACAGACAGACTCAGACTCAGCAACAAGACTAGCGGCGTAGTCTAGACGACAGTGAGCAGCGAAGTCGACAAGCTCAGCAACTAAGGCAGACGCAGCAGTGGACTCAAAAAAAGGGTCAGTGACAACAGTAGCCAGGAGACGCGTGACAGTAGGACTGGCAGCACGAAGTGAGTCAGACGTCGGGTCAGCAAGAGCAGGAAGAGAGGACTCAGGAGGAGACGGCAAAGGGACACGCAGTGGAGCAGTGGAAGGACGCAGTGCCATCTGGTGTGTGCCCGGGACCGCAGGAGGGCGCTGACGTGGAACACTACGACTAGTGCGAGCAGCACGAACAGGCGACGCAGGACGCGACTCAGGCTCACGACGCTCAGCAAGACCTCCAGTAGGACCAGTGTAGGGAGAAGGAGCAGGCAGTGGGGAGGCCAGCTGTAACTGTGACTCGGACTGGACAGGCGGTGGACACTCTAAGGAAGGAGCAGGACCAGAAGAAGGCGGAAGACCAAGAACCTACTCAAGGAGCGGAACGAAGTACGGCCGCGGCCGCGCAGCGCCTCCAGAACCAGCAGGGACAGCACCAGCACCCCCAGCGCCAGCTCCAACTCCAGCAGCACCACCAGCTCCAGCAGCACCTCCAGCAGCTCCAGAACCTCCAGCAGCTCCAGCTCCAGCGGGACCACCGGAAGACGCAGCAGCTCCGGTTCCAGTACCCCCAGCATCACCTACTCCAGCAGCACCGCCAGCTCCAGATCCGCTAGTAGCTCCAGCACCAGCAGCACCACCAGGCCCAGCAGCTCTAGTACCTCCAGTACGAGCACCTCCGGGACCCGTGGCTCCAGCACCCCCAGCAGCAGTAGAACCTCCAGTACCGGCAGCACCACCAGCTCCAGCAGCACGGCTCCAGCGCCGAGCAAACCACTCGCGCAACTCCTGTGGAGAGGGTAGCTCCCGCCGGGACGAAGCACACAAAGGACCTCCAGGCCCAGCACCGCCAGACTCCACACGAGCAGGCCCAGCTCCTGCGGGCTCCGCACCCCAAGACTCAGCAACTCCAGGCTCAGCACCCCCAGACTCAGGAACTCCAGGCTCAGCACCCCCAGACTCAGGAACTCCAGGCTCAGCACCCCCAGACTCAGCACCCCCAGGCTCCGCACGCTCAGGCTCAGCACCCCCAGACCCGGCACCCGCAGGCTCAGCACCCCTAGCAGCACCAGAGTCAACAGCTACCTCGACAGGCTCGAGTGCGTCTACCTGAGACACACCTGAGGGGGCAGGACCCTGAGGGGGGAGGGGGTCTACCGGGGGGGGGACCTGGCGCGAGGAAGAGCGGCGGGGGGGGGAGGGGGGCAGCGCGGTAGGGAAAGAGACGGTAGTACGGAACCGACTCGTCAAACGTGACGTCCTGGGAGGACAGAACACGGCGCGAGGTGGGGTGGTAAAACTGCCAACCAGGCGCGTCAGGGGGGAAGCCAAGGAAGACGCAGGGAACAGCACGGGAGGACAGCTTGTCCGCAGACAAGTCGCGGACGAAAGCTCGAGATCCCCAGACACAGAACGCAGACGCATCGCCAACCTTCCCCATCCACCGCAGAGTAGGGGAGGTCTCCGGCATGGAGACCCGGGGCTGAAGGTTGATCTGATGCGCCGCGTACTGAACCGCGAACGGCCACAGAAAATGGGGAGCAGCCGCATGGATCATGGACGTACGAGCGACGTCCATGACCATGCCAATGCGGCGCTCAGCAATCCCATTTTGCTGTGGAGAGGTCGGAAGCGTGAACGTCTGGCGGATGCCCTCCGCACGACAGAAGGCTCGCAGAAGGTCGGAGGAAAACTCTCCACCTCGGTCGGAGTGCAGACGCAGAACAGGAAAGTCCGAGCCGAAACTCTCTCTGAGCTGGAGACGGGCAGCGCGGATCCAGTCGATCAACACCTCAGTGACCTCACCCTTGCGGCGCAAGGGGAAGACTGAGGTGTAACGCGCAAAGTCGTCAACCACCAGCAGGAAGTAACGCTCGTGACCCTGTCCACGGACGCGGGCTGGGCCCCACACGTCCATGTGGAGAGTCTGCAGCGGAGCCTCTGTCGGAGGAAACTCGGAGGAGTGAGGAGTGGCGCGTTGCCGCCCCTCGACGCAGGGAACGCAGGTAGGGGCAGGCCCCGGAGGAAGGGGAGGTAGGGACCGGGGGAGACCAGAGACAAGGACACGGGAGGCCATGCCTCGGAGACGAGGCAGGGAGGGGTGACCAAGGCGGTGGTGCCAGAGGAGGGTCTGGTGGGACAGGAGGCGACAAGAGCAGGGGGCAGACTCAGGACCAGACCGAGACGCTGCAGCAAACACCTGACCCGACGCAGCTACCTGACCAGACGCAGCAACCGGAGGAGACTCGGTAGTCAGTGTGTACAGGCTCGACCCCGGCTGATGGGTAAACGTGGCCAAGTGTCGGCCCGTCCGAGCACACGTGCAGTGGGTCACTCGCTGACTCGCAGGAGTGAACTGGTCAACCCCTCCATCCTGTAGGTCAGCACCACTCACCAAGTTCGTAGAGAACGAGTGGAGGTAAAGACCTGACAGGGAGCCAGAGGGGGCCGCCGGAGACAGTAGGACAGTGGAGTAGTGGGCAAGTACAGGACCCCCAGAGGGGTCTGCCAGGGAGATTGCAACCGGCCGACTATTGGCGTGAGTGTGGTGCGATCTCGAAAGAAGGAGCGGGAAGCACCCGAGTCAAGGGTGAAGGTGTGTAAGACCGCAGCAGGCGCAGTACCAGAGAGAGCAGACTCACCAGCACCTGGAGCAGCAGCCTCACGAGCACCTAGAGCAGCAGCCTCACCAGCACCTGGAGCAGGAGACGCACCAGCACCTAGAGCAGCAGCCTCACCAGTACCTAGAGCAGGAGACTGGATACCGGGGTCAGGCGGCACACACAAGTAACAGGCACCCTCAGCACTAGTAGGCAATGCATACATGGCAGTGAGGATAGCATCATAGTCAAGAGCATAGATATCTACCCTCTGACTAAGCAGCTCCACCCAGTCGGGGAGCTCAGCCGCGTCGCCAAACTCTGTACGCCAGGCGTCGCTCAGACGGGCGAAGCAGCGGGACTCTGTGTGACCAAACGTCGCGCAAGGCTGACCAGTCCGAGCACCAGTGCGAATGACGTACGGGCAGCGAGCAGTACCCCGTGACCCTCCACGCTGAGCGTACCACTCACGAAGCTGCTGGGGCGAAAGGACCGCGCGCAGACGACGCTGCAGCTGCACCTGGCCACTATAAGAAGCTCCCGAACTACTCACTCCAGGACGACTCCCACTATGGCCACCCCGACAACCCCAACTAGCGTACCACTCACGAAGCTGCTGGGGCGTGAGGGACTCACGTGGACGTCGCTGGAGCTGCATCTGGCCACCGCCAGGAGCAGCAGTAGCAGTAGTAGCAGCGCGGCCACCCCTACAACCCCAACTAGCGTACCACTCACGAAGCTGTTGGGGCGTGAGAGACTCACGCGGACGGCGCTGGAGCTGCATCTGGCCACGCCAGGAGCAGCAGTAGTAGTAGAAAGAGCAGTAGCAGCAGGAGCAGCAGTAACAGCAGTACGGGCTGGGCAGTGCTCACCAGTGGCGAGAAGGGCAGGCGTACGACGGTGGCAACGGCGAGGCCGCAACCACTGCAGGGCGAGGGCTCCGCGGCAGCTGCAGGGGCGGCTGCTCCAGGGGCCAGGGGCGGCTGCTGCAGGGGCGGCTGCTCCAGGGGCCAGGGGCGGCTGCTGTAGGGGCGGCTGCTCCAGGGGCCAGGGGCGGCAGCAGAGGTCCAGGGGCGGCTGCTGCAGGGGCAGCTGCTGCAGGGGCGGCTGCTGCAGGGGCGGCTGCTCCAGGGGCCAGGGGCGGCTGCTGCAAGGGCGGATGCCCCAGGGGCCAGGGGCGGCTGCTCCAGTGGCCAGGGGCAGCTGCTGCAGGGGCGGCTGCTCCAGGGGTCAGGGGCGGCTGCTCCAGGGGCCAGGGGCGGCTGCTGCAGGGGCGGCTGCTCCAGGGGTCAGGGGCGGCTGCTGCAAGGGCGGCTGCTGCAGGTCGGGCGCGGGTTAGGGCAGGGCACCGCGGCGGACAGGGGCGACGCCGCGTGGGTCCCGCAGGGGCGTCGTGACGAGCGGTGGCGACGCCCGGGTCCCGTTGGGGCGTCGCGACGCGCGGGAGCCGCGCCTCGCGGGTCCCGCAGGGGCGTCGCGACGAGGCAGGGGCGACGCGCGGGTCCCGCTGAGGCGTCGCGACGAGGCAGGGGCGACACCCGGGTGGCGACGGGGCGGGGCCGCGACTGGCGACGGGGCGGGGCCGCTACGGGTAACGGGGCGGGGCCGCGAAGGGGCCGCGAAGGGGCCGCTAAGGGGCCGCGAAGGGGCCGCGAAGGGGCCGCGAAGGGGCCTCGAAGGGGCAGCTAAGGGGCCGTGAAGGGGCCGTGAAGGGGCCGCTAAGGGGCCGCGAAGGGGCCGCTAAGGGGCCGCGAAGGGGCTGCGAAGGGGCCGCAAAGGGGGGCCGCGACGGGCCTCAGGAGCAGGGCAGGCCGCTAAGGGGCTGCGAAAGGGTAGGGCAGGTCAGAGCGCGAAGCGCGCTTCGGGCAGGTTAGGAAAAAAAAAATTAATGGTGGGCCCTTAGGAAGAAACAGTCCCACTAGGGAACCCGCTCTATACTATGTGAAGAAAGAGGAATGAATGAACTAGGAAAGTGTGTGATACAAATGTGAAACCCTAGAAGTGAGTACCCCTTAGTGTCTACCCCGCTACAGCCTTCATAGGCTAGGTCATGTATGTCTGACACTGGTGTACACTTCATGTTGTTTCCAGTCCAGGTCAAGATTTTTGGGCTTAAGAAATTCTGTAGATGGTGTCAAAACAGACACACTTTCAATGAATACCATTGCGGCACGTCTACAGAAACTCAATTTCCTTCAGCAAGATTGCTTGAAAATCCTTGCTCACTCTACATAGCTAACAGCTGGTTTGGCATTGGTGTGGGGTCACTCCCATCATGTGTCAGCACTGTTGAGTCAAGGACGAACGAGTCTAACGGCGAGAGGTGCTGGCAGCACATGCAGCAACACAGAGCAAGCGACGCACATGGCACAGCACAGCACAAGACAGTGGTGAGAGAGTCAACGGCGAGAGGTGCTGGCAGCAGTCCTGCGCTTGGATGATGCCCGCTGCTCCTCCTCCCTCTCCTCCTTCCTCGTCTGCCCAGCACATGTAGCAGCACAGTGCAAGCAAAGGATAGACAAAGCACGACATGGCACAGCACAAGACAGCACGGCACGGCACAGCATAGCATGAGAGATGATGAGCTGATGAGAGGGGTGGGAGTGAGCAAGTGAGGGTGCTTCAGCAATAAGCACTGGACTAAGGCAGCTCAGGCGACACGACACGTCATGCTGATGAGAAGGGCGGCCTGAGATGACAGGATGGCATGGCATGCACACTCTAGGCAGCGACTGACATGGAGTTTGAAGAGGATGCGCACGGAAACAGCGACAAAGTCAAGCATCAGCTCGAGCGCATCAGCCATGTGGTGGCTGTGGCGGGACGGGATGGGGTGTGTGTGGTATACTACCGCATCCAGGCAGTGACCAGGTGTGGTGGAAGTGTGGTGGATGGCACACAGGTTGCAGACGCAGACTCACCAGGATGAAGAGGATGCGCACGAAGACAGCGACAAAGCCCGACAGCAGCTCGAGGGCATCAGCCACGTGGTCGCAGTGACCCTGCTTCTCCCCCTCTCCCACGTCGTCCCCATGGCAGTGCAGCAAGTGTGGTGTGGATGGGGTGTGGTGTGGTGTGGTTAACACAGGTGGTTGGTTACAGTCTTACCAGAATGAAGAGGATGCGCACGAAGACAGCGACAAAGTCGAGCAGCAGCTCGAGAGCGTCCACCACGTGGTCGCAGTGGCCCTGCCTCGCTCTCTCCAGCAGCACCTGCGTGTCGTATATGATGTATCCTGAGAAGACCAGCAGGCCTCCATACAGCTGGTGGGGTAAAAGAGACAGACGGGGAGAGGAGATGGGACGAGGATATTAGTGGAGAAAGCAGGAACACTGGCTCTCTTCACCAGCACCTGTGTGTCGTATATGATGTATCTGGCAAACACCAGGAGGCACTTTTGAGAATTCTCAAAAGTGATTCCCAAATTGTCGTAAATGATGTATTTGGCCAGCACCAGGAGGCCGCCGCACAGCTGTGCAAAAGAGGAGGTGGAAGAGGGTATGGGAGAAGCAGTGAGATGGAGTGGCAAGGGAGCGGATTGAGGGAGCAGCCACACTGGCCCTCAGCAACACCTGCGTGCCATGAATGCATGCGAACACCAACAGCCCCCCGCACAGGGCGACGTCCCAGCCCAGGTGTGCTCAGAACTAGAGGAAAGGGCTCGTTACACAATAACCTCGACCTGAAAGATAGCATCAGAGGCGCCGAAGACGAAGGAGGCGAGGCGCAGGGCGAGCATGGCGGAGAGGGCGGAGGGGAGTGGCAAGGCACAGGCAACGAATTCAGAGAGCAGAGACCACATTGCACTCACACACGCAACTGATACACGTACCTCAATCTGGAAAACAGCATTGGAGCCACCGAAGAAGATAGAGGTGAGGCGCAGGGCGAGCATGGTGGATACGGCAGAGGAGAGGAAGCCCCCCAGGTACAGGTACTCCCTGCGCCGTGCGAGCAGCGCCACACCTCACTCACACACACACCTCACACACACACCTCGATCTGAAAGACAGCGTTAGAGCCGCCAAAGAAGATGGAAGCAAGGCGCAGGGCGAGCATGGTGGAGACGGCAGAGGCAAGGAATCCTCCCAGGTAAAGGTACTCCCTGCGCTTAGCCAGCAGCGCCGCCCCTGAGAAGCACAGGAAGATGGCTGCTGTTGCGACGAATGCTGTGACTAGCAGACTGGGGGGGAAGGAGGGACAAGAAGAGAGGGAGGCAGGGGGGGTTGTGAGAGGGGGTGAGGGTGAGAGGTCGGGAGTAGGCAGAGCTGAGTGACTGAGTACAGGGAGAGAAAGCCCCCCAAGTACAGGTACTCCGAGCAGCGCTGCCCCTGAGAAGCACAGGAAGATGGCTGCTGGTGCAATGCTGCTACTAGCATACTGGACGGGGAGGGAGGCAGGGAGGGGGGGACGGGGTGGGAGAGAGAGGTTAGGAGCAGGAATGACAAGCATGGGTGATGTGCGGCGGAGAGTGCACGGGTGGGAGAATGCGAGGGTGGGAGGGGGACGGGGGAGACGATGCGAGGAGGACGAGAGAGTGGGAGGAGAGCGATGCCGGAGAGCGCAAATGGAGAGATGGAGAGCAAAGGAGTGAAACGAAGAGCATGCAGGCAGCGCGGAAGGAGACAGAGGGAGGAGGACGAGATGGGGGCTGGGGTGGAACGGGCAGACAGAAAACGAGAGAAGAAAACCGCGCGTACGGTTGACCTAACTACTTCATTCACAGTTGTCCTGGGCTAGCCTAACAAGTGGGTGATCCTCCGCTTGACAAGCCTGAAGTTAACCTAAAGCTCTCCTACCCATGGTTGACCTAAGGCTGCCATAACCGGGGACCTACCCGGGGTTGACCTCTTAAGGATGCCATATCCGGGGACCTACCCGAGGTTGATTTGAATAACAGCATCGACGAGCGGGCCGATGGAGCAGCCGTGCGAGAAGGCGATGGCGAGAAGCAGGCGAAAGCGAAACGACTGGCGAAAGATTCGCGAGGACGCGGCAACGCGTGGGAAGGGAGAGACGGGGAAAAAGTGGGAAATGGTTTTACGAGAAGGTAAGACGAAGAACAGGGTTTCTGAAGAGAAAAACGGTCGTCTACACATCGAAAGGCTTCGCCGCTTCGCTTACATTGCGGAGGTCATGAGAACATCGCCTAAAAAATATACTAAACGTACGCCTACGGACGCGAACGAATGTTAGAACTGCTGGCACACAGCTTTGGAGGAAGAATACTAGCGAAAGAGGAGACTCGCAGACGAGGAGAGGAGGAGGCGGAGAGGAGAGCACCTCGTTAGCGGGTACGGCGGGCGTGGCGTTGAGCCAGAGCACGCCCGCGATCGACGCTATCGACTAGTAGAGCTAGTATTATACAGCAAAGGAGGGAGAATACTAGCGGACGAGGATATTATCAGGCCGCGAGGAGGCGCACCTCGTTAGCGGGAACGGCGGGCGTGGCGTTGAGCCAAAGCACGCCCGCGATCGACGCTATCGACGAGAGCGCGCCGCCGAGCCCCCACAGCACGTGCGCGTACGCGCCTAGCGACGCGACGACCAGCGTCAGCGCGAGCGTCAGGTAGACCTTCTGCAGATGTGACTGTATCGAGGGGGTGAGCGCGGAGAAGTTCTTCAACGCGTCGAAGTTGAATGACTGCGAGTCGCCGAAGCGAGAGAAAGGGGACGAGCCCCGCGATGCTGTAGCCGCCATGACGGAGGTATGGCAGATGATGGCACGCGATGCAAGGAGCGGTGAAAGAAGCAAGCGGTGCAGCGAGAAGGATGATACTGGTATCTTCAAGCTTCGTTACTAGTTTCTGGAGCAGTATGCGAGGGAATAATGCTGTGCTGGATACATCTGTTCGCACAGGCACGAGCGGGAATTTGTACGCGCTGCTGTGCTGATGAGCTTGGAGATATTTATTTCTTGGGGTTCCAGCAATGCAATGCGAAGTGCTCGGCGGTTGTTTTGGTGAACGGCTCGGTACGGTGCAGGCAGCGATGGGTCTAGATCGGCTTGATAAATTTGTGCAGATGACTCGCTGCGTGCTTCTCACGAGAAGGACGAGAATCTGGCTGCTATCTGGAACTTTCAAGAAAGTGCTAGAGTGGGCGAAACGATGCGCTGGAATAACCATGGGGCAAGTGTTACATTCTAAGAGAATGGATCAACATAGTAAGAGTGCCTCTAACTTGCATTTGAATGAAAACACGACTAACACTGTGGTTTTACCAGAAAAGTTTGACAGTCATTATCACTCTCGCGCAACCCGCCTCATCTTGGCAACCAGGCGAGCAGTGGTGGCATCCAGCGACCCCCCAGCACCGCTCTCCTGTGCGATAAACTCCGACAGGCTCGCCTTGGGCGTGGCAAAGCACGCTTGGAAGGTCGCAATAGCAGGCGATGCAGCCACATACAGCACCGACAATACACTGCATAGATACTCTATGTCTGCTGCTAGCTGCTGTGCCCCCCGGTCTGACACCTCGGGAATCGCTCGAATCTGCTCCACGAATAGCGACGTCGCGCCGTCAGCGACCTTTGTCATCCACTCCCGGACGAAATACGCCCCCGCATCCTCCTCCCCTGCTGCGGTCGGTGTCGCGGATTCCCCGCCTGCCGACGCGCTGCTTGCCGAGGCTTGCAGGAGCAGGCTCGGGGCTGCTTCGGAGGCAGCGACGGCGAGAGGCTCGAGTTGCTGGGGGAGAGTGAGGAGGTATTCTCCCACGGCTGTGATGTAGGGTAGAGCGTACGCGTTGAAGGTTGGTAGGTCAAACACATTCTCCTCCTCGCCCAATGCCCAGTCCGGCATGGAAGAGACCCCTGCCAATTGCCGCCGTACCTGCAAGGTGGGGGCGCGAGAGGCACGGGGATGGATATAAGAAAAGGGGGAACGAGGCAAGCGAGGAAGTAGGTGATGAGACGAGTGCAGGGAGGAGTGTTGCAGCAACAGGGAAGAACACAATTGTCGAGAGGAAGGAAATCGAGGAAAGGGAAGAAAATGAAGCGTGCATAGAAAGTGAGGGAAATAGGGAGATTGTGGGTAGCAGGGAGAGTGAGGGTAGCGGGGCGAGTGAGGGGAATGGGGAGAGTGAGCGAGTGAGTGAGAGCGCAGAGGGACGATCGCATCCTTTGCGGTCATTGGACGATGTGCTCATAGGAGAGCCAATGAGCATTGAGCACATCGTGCACCAGCAATGAGGGAGGAGAGAGCGAGGGAAGGAAGGAGGGAGTGGAGGGTGAGGAGAGAAAGTGGGGGGCGAGCAAAGAAGGCGAGGACAGAGAGTGGGGTAAGGGGGGGAGGAGAGTTGGTGATGGGAAATGAGCACGAGGCGGGGATGGTCGCACCTTGGCAATGAGCACGTCGTACACCAACGATGACACTGCTTCCTGGAAGCTTCTCACTCGCTGCGCCGTGCGCGGGAGCGCATGGATGCGCGGGTCCCTGAGCTCGTCCAGCAGCCTGATGAGGGCAGGTGCACATATGGAGGAAGGGGGGAACGGGGGGAGGGCAAGAGAGGGCAAGCAACAGTTATGGAGCCAGGCCCGAATGACCACGTGGTCATTTTCGTGCTGTATTGAAAGCACATTCAAGCCTTGCACTGCTTTCACCACATGGCCCACCATCCCTTCACCCCATCACGCTGCACCTGGCGAGGCGCTGAGCCTTGTCGGGATATTCCGCCAGTCTCAGCACCGCCACATCCACCTCACTCCCCTCTGCTCCCCCTCCAGCTCCCACTCCGCCTCCCCCTGCGCCTCCCCCTCCCCCTGCGCCACCAACCGACCCCACCCGCTTCACCTCCCCTCCCGCGCCCTCCCCTCCCCCTTCCCCTGCGCCATCCCCCCCAGCATCCAGCCCCAAGCGGGGGGAGAGCTGGGTGAGGGCGCTGCGGAGGGAGGCTTCAAACACTGCCACGCGCACCGCCACACTCTCTGCCACCATCAGCAGTTGCAGCGCTCCCTGCACCACTGCCCACTCCTCCTCCTCCTCCACTCCCCCTGCTCCCCCTGCTCCGTACCCCGCCGGGTCCGGTAGACTGGCCAACGGATCGTCTGAGAATGGATTGGTTCGGTCTGAGCCTGGGCCAGAGGCTCGGGTTGGAGCGGAAGGAGTGGTGGAGGAAGGAAGGGCAGGAGGTGGGGGAGGGGAGAGGCCGCAGATGGGGGGGAGGGATTGGAGGCAGGAGGAGAGGCGGGAGAGGAAGAGGAGGATGGAGTGGTCGAGTGCGGTGAGGAGCGCTGCTGCCTCTGAGCCCCCTGTGAAGGCGAGACAGCGCTCCACTGCTGCCTCCAGTGCTGCCATGGCTGCTGGGATGGCCGCCTGGTGAGGGGGGTGAATGAAGAGTGGAGGAAAGATGTAGAGGACAGGAGAGCGAGAGGTGATGGGAAGATTAAGCATGCAGAATGGGATGGGTGGTAGAGGTGGTACAGGAAAGAGGAGCGTGGTAGCAAAATACGAAAAGGCCAGCTCCAGACCACCTCCCAGGAACATATTAGTCATACTGAGAACTCCAAAAGATTCCAAGAGATTATTCCAGCACACTGACATGCACCGCACAGCACCACCTCTCACCTCCATGCGCCGAACAGCATCTGCCAGCACGAGCCCGCGCTGCCCCACTTGCTTCACTGCGCTGCCCGGCCTGAGATCTATGCCGCCCAGATCCGCCGCCAGCTGTGCGCGCTCATAGTCCCCGTAGCGCTGCTTGAACGGCTCTAAGGGCCGGAACACCGCCCACACCACTGCTCCCACACTCACCGGCCCCTCTCCCTCCTGCTCCCCCTCCTCCTCCCTGCCCCTTCTCTTGCTGCCCTTCTCCCCTCCGCCTGCCGCTCCTCCTCCTGCCCCTCCTCCTCCTCCTGCTGCTGCTGCGGCGGCGGCTCCTTGTGTGTTTTTCTCAGAGGAAGATGGCTTAGTGGCATCGGCAGTGGCGGAGGAAGGAAGGGAGGCGAGGAGGCGGGAGAGGTTGCGCGCAAAGGTGGTGGTGGTGGCGTGTAGGGCGAGTAGCAGGGCCAGGCGCGTAGAAGGTCTGGACTGGGATGCTGCAGACAGAGGCGAGAAGGCAGAGCAGAAGATGAAAAAAAGGAGGGCAACGGGAGTGGTTCAGAGGAGAGGATGCATCCTCTCCTGACCGTTGGAGGGCAAAGGTGGTGGTGGTGGCGTGCAGGGCGAGCAGGATGGCCAGACGGGTGGATGGTCGCCACTGGGACGCTGCAGGGCGAGGGAGGGAAGGCAGGTAGCAGAGGGCAGGGCACAGCCTCCCTCTTTCCCCCTCCTTGCCTTCATCCTCCCCCACCAGCCAACTTACCTGCTTCACCCGCATCAGCAGCAGCAGCGGAGAGAGCGGCGAGGGCAGCATCAGACACAGCGGCATCGACGCGCAGAGTGAAGCTGGAGGCAAACCCGCCCCACGTGGCCGTGAGCAGGTGGTATGGCACAACCCCCCCACCCCCTCGCTTCATGCTTTCCCACCCCCACCCTGCCTACCTGCATCAGCAGCAGCAAGAGCAGACAGCGCAGCATCAGACACAGCAGCATCGACACGCGCAGTGAAGCTGGAGGCAAGCCCGCCCCACGTGGCCCGCCCCACGTGGCCGTGAGCAGGTGGTATGGCACAACCCCCCCACCCCCTCGCTTCATGCTTTCCCACCCCCACCCTGCCTACCTGCATCAGCAGCAGCAAGAGCAGACAGCGCAGCGTCAGACACAGCAGCATCGACGCGCGCAGTGAAGCTGGAGGCGAGCCCGCCCCACGTGGCCGTGAGCAGACGCAGCAGCAGAGGCGAGGCGTGGTGGGGGAAGGCTGCCACGCACCAACGAGCCTCCTGCTCCACTGCGAGTAGCATCTCGTCGTACCAGCGCGGTAACCACTCGGGGAACTGTAACGCTGCTGCCAATGGGCCTGAGGTGAGAGGGGGAGTGGCAATGGAGGGAGGGGGGAAGGTGGGTGGAGAGGGGGGGAAGGAGCGGAATGGATGAGAGTATGGGTGTGGGGGGCAGAGAAGACGTTGTGAGTATTGAAGAGAGGAACGGGGGGGGGTGAAGGGGTGCCCCTGCGCCTGAGCTTGCGCTTACTTCTACAACCCTGATTCAAGCATCTTTGGCCTGCCTACCCTTCCACCCCTCCACCCCCCGGCCCGCACCACGGTAGTGACCTCGAACTGCGGTGTGGGTGGGCAGCAGCCCTTCCACCCCTCTTTTACTTGACAAACCCTTCCGCCTCTCTGCCCACCTGCGCCAGGAGCAACAGCAGTGACCTCAAATTGCTCCCACAGGCGTGTGAGCGGACGGCAGCTCCCACCTCACAACCTTAACTAAAGCATGTCTGCCATCTCAACCCCTCTACCATGCCAGCGCTGCTGCCCTTCCATCCCTCAGCCTGCCCACCTGCGCCCGGTGCCACAGCAGTGACCTCAAACTGCTCCCACAGGCGTGTGAGCGGGCGGCAGCGCACGAGGCAGAAGAGAGCTTCCACCGTGTGCTGCCGCCCGATGGCTGCCAGGATGCCTGTCAGCGAGCGACACGCATCCAACTGAGGAGGTGGAGGGGAGGAAGGGGGGGGGAAGAAGGATTAAGGGAGAGAGGGGTGCTTGGGTTGATTGAAGAGCACGAGGCAGAAGAGAGCCTCCACCGTGTGCTGCCTGCCAATCGCTGCAAGAATGCCTGTCAGCAAGCGACACGCGTCCAACTGGCATAGGAGAGAGTGGTGGACGGAAGAGAAAGGTGGTTGAGTTGGGGACTAACAGGGCTAACAGGGCTAACACGAGGCACAAGAGCGCCGCCTATGCTGCCGCCCTATGCTGCCGCCCTATGCTGCTGCCAGGATGCCTGTAAGTGAGCGACACGCGTCCAACTGGTGCGGGTAGGTGCAGTGAATGGAAGAGAAAGGTGCTTGAGTTGAGGGCTAACAGGGCAGCGCACGAGGGGTGCAGGTTGGAGGTGCAGGTTGGAGGTGCAGGTTGGAGGTGCAGGTTTGAGGTGCAGGTTTGAGGTGCAGGTTTGAGGTGCGGGTTTGCGGTGCAGGTTTGAGGTGCAGGTTTGAGGTGCGGGTTTGCGGTGCAGGTTTGAGGTGCAGGTTTGAGGTGCAGGTTTGAGGTGCAGGTTTGAGGTGCAGGTTTGAGGTGCAGGTTGGAGGTGCAAGTTTGAGGTGCAGGTTTGAGGTGCAGGTTTGAGGTGCGGGTTTGCGGTGCAGGTTGGAGGTGCAGGTTGGAGGTGCAGGTTTGAGGTGCAGGTTTGAGGTGCAGGTTTGAGGTGCAGGTTTGAGGTGCAGGTTTGAGGTGCAGGTTGGAGGTGCAAGTTTGAGGTGCAGGTTTGAGGTGCAGGTTTGAGGTGCGGGTTTGAGGTGCAGGTTGGAGGTGCAGGTTGGAGGTGCAGGTTTGAGGTGCAGGTTTGAGGTGCAGGTTTGAGGTGCAGGTTGGAGGTGCAGGTTTGAGGTGCAGGTTGGAGGTGCAAGTTTGAGGTGCAGGTTTGAGGTGCAGGTTTGAGGTGCGGGTTTGCGGTGCAGGTTGGAGGTGCAGGTTGGAGGTGCAGGTTTGCGGTGCAGGTTTGAGGTGCAGGTTGGAGGTGCAGGTTGGAGGTGCAGGTTGGAGGTGCAGGTTGGAGGTGCAGGTTTGAGGTGCAGGTTTGAGGTGCAGGTTTGAGGTGCAGGTTTGAGGTGCAGGTTTGAGGTGCAGGTTTGAGGTGCAGGTTTGAGGTGCAGGTTTGAGGTGCAGGTTTGAGGTGCAGGTTTGAGGTGCAGGTTGGAGGTGCAGGTTTGAGGTGCAGGTTGGAGGTGCAGGTTGGAGGTGCAGGTTTGAGGTGCAGGTTTGAGGTGCAGGTTTGAGGTGCAGGTTTGAGGCGCAGGTTTGAGGTGCAGGTTTGAGGTGCAGGTTGGAGGTGCAGGTTGGAGGTGCAGGTTTGCGGTGCAGGTTTGAGGTGCAGGTTTGAGGTGCAGGTTTGAGGTGCAGGTTTGAGGTGCAGGTTTGAGGTGCAGGTTTGAGGTGCAGGTTTGAGGTGCAGGTTTGAGGTGCAGGTTGGAGGTGCAGGTTTGCGGTGCAGGTTGGAGGTGCAGGTTGGAGGTGCAGGTTTGAGGTGCAAGTTGGAGGTGCAAGTTGGAGGTTGGAGGTGCAAGTTGGAGGTGCAGGTTGGAGGTGCAAGTTGGAGGTGCAAGTTGGAGGTTGGAGGTGCAGGTTGGAGGTGCAGGTTTGAGGTGCAGGTTTGAGGTGCAGGTTTGAGGTGCAGGTTGGAGGTGCAGGTTTGAGGTGCAGGTTGGAGGTGCAGGTTGGAGGTGCAGGTTGGAGGTGCAGGTTTGAGGTGCAGGTTGGAGGTGCAGGTTTGCGGTGCAGGTTTGAGGTGCAGGTTGGAGGTGCAGGTTGGAGGTGCAGGTTGGAGGTGCAGGTTGGAGGTGCAGGTTTGAGGTGCAGGTTTGAGGTGCAGGTTTGAGGTGCAGGTTTGAGGTGCAGGTTTGAGGTGCAGGTTTGAGGTGCAGGTTGGAGGTGCAAGTTTGAGGTGCAGGTTTGAGGTGCAGGTTTGAGGTGCGGGTTTGCGGTGCAGGTTGGAGGTGCAGGTTGGAGGTGCAGGTTTGAGGTGCAGGTTTGAGGTGCAGGTTTGAGGTGCAGGTTTGAGGTGCAGGTTTGAGGTGCAGGTTGGAGGTGCAAGTTTGAGGTGCAGGTTTGAGGTGCAGGTTTGAGGTGCGGGTTTGAGGTGCAGGTTGGAGGTGCAGGTTGGAGGTGCAGGTTTGAGGTGCAGGTTTGAGGTGCAGGTTTGAGGTGCGGGTTTGCGGTGCAGGTTGGAGGTGCAGGTTGGAGGTGCAGGTTTGAGGTGCAGGTTTGAGGTGCAGGTTGGAGGTGCAGGTTTGAGGTGCAGGTTGGAGGTGCAGGTTTGAGGCGCAGGTTTGAGGTGCAGGTTTGAGGTGCAGGTTGGAGGTGCAGGTTTGAGGTGCAGGTTGGAGGTGCAAGTTTGAGGTGCAGGTTTGAGGTGCAGGTTTGAGGTGCGGGTTTGCGGTGCAGGTTGGAGGTGCAGGTTGGAGGTGCAGGTTTGCGGTGCAGGTTTGAGGTGCAGGTTTGAGGTGCAGGTTTGAGGTGCAGGTTTGAGGTGCAGGTTGGAGGTGCAGGTTTGAGGTGCAGGTTTGAGGTGCAGGTTTGAGGTGCAGGTTTGAGGTGCAGGTTGGAGGTGCAGGTTTGCGGTGCAGGTTGGAGGTGCAGGTTGGAGGTGCAAGTTGGAGGTGCAGGTTGGAGGTGCAAGTTGGAGGTGCAAGTTGGAGGTTGGAGGTGCAGGTTTGAGGTGCAGGTTTGAGGTGCAGGTTGGAGGTGCAGGTTTGAGGTGCAGGTTGGAGGTGCAGGTTTGAGGCGCAGGTTTGAGGTGCAGGTTTGAGGTGCAGGTTGGAGGTGCAGGTTTGAGGTGCAGGTTGGAGGTGCAGGTTTGAGGTGCAGGTTGGAGGTGCAGGTTGGAGGTGCAGGTTTGAGGTGCAGGTTTGAGGTGCAGGTTTGAGGTGCAGGTTGGAGGTGCAGGTTTGAGGTGCAGGTTGGAGGTGCAAGTTTGAGGTGCAGGTTTGAGGTGCAGGTTTGAGGTGCGGGTTTGCGGTGCAGGTTGGAGGTGCAGGTTGGAGGTGCAGGTTTGAGGTGCAGGTTTGAGGTGCAGGTTGGAGGTGCAGGTTTGAGGTGCAGGTTGGAGGTGCAGGTTTGAGGTGCAGGTTTGAGGTGCAGGTTTGAGGTGCAGGTTTGAGGTGCAGGTTTGAGGTGCAGGTTGGAGGTGCAAGTTTGAGGTGCAGGTTTGAGGTGCAGGTTTGAGGTGCGGGTTTGAGGTGCAGGTTGGAGGTGCAGGTTGGAGGTGCAGGTTTGAGGTGCAGGTTTGAGGTGCAGGTTTGAGGTGCGGGTTTGCGGTGCAGGTTGGAGGTGCAGGTTGGAGGTGCAGGTTTGAGGTGCAGGTTTGAGGTGCAGGTTGGAGGTGCAGGTTTGAGGTGCAGGTTGGAGGTGCAGGTTTGAGGCGCAGGTTTGAGGTGCAGGTTTGAGGTGCAGGTTGGAGGTGCAGGTTTGAGGTGCAGGTTGGAGGTGCAAGTTTGAGGTGCAGGTTTGAGGTGCAGGTTTGAGGTGCGGGTTTGCGGTGCAGGTTGGAGGTGCAGGTTGGAGGTGCAGGTTTGCGGTGCAGGTTTGAGGTGCAGGTTTGAGGTGCAGGTTTGAGGTGCAGGTTTGAGGTGCAGGTTGGAGGTGCAGGTTTGAGGTGCAGGTTTGAGGTGCAGGTTTGAGGTGCAGGTTTGAGGTGCAGGTTGGAGGTGCAGGTTTGCGGTGCAGGTTGGAGGTGCAGGTTGGAGGTGCAAGTTGGAGGTGCAGGTTGGAGGTGCAAGTTGGAGGTGCAAGTTGGAGGTTGGAGGTGCAGGTTTGAGGTGCAGGTTTGAGGTGCAGGTTGGAGGTGCAGGTTTGAGGTGCAGGTTGGAGGTGCAGGTTTGAGGCGCAGGTTTGAGGTGCAGGTTTGAGGTGCAGGTTGGAGGTGCAGGTTGGAGGTGCAGGTTTGAGGTGCAGGTTTGAGGTGCAGGTTTGAGGTGCAGGTTGGAGGTGCAGGTTTGAGGTGCAGGTTGGAGGTGCAAGTTTGAGGTGCAGGTTTGAGGTGCAGGTTTGAGGTGCGGGTTTGCGGTGCAGGTTTGAGGTGCAGGTTGGAGGTGCAGGTTGGAGGTGCAGGTTGGAGGTGCAGGTTGGAGGTGAAGGTTTGAGGTGCAGGTTGGAGGTGCAGGTTGGAGGTGCAGGTTGGAGGTGCAGGTTTGAGGTGCAGGTTTGAGGTGCAGGTTTGAGGTGCAGTTTGGAGGTGCAGGTTGGAGGTGCAGGTTTGCGGTGCAGGTTTGAGGTGCAGGTTTGAGGTGCAGGTTTGAGGTGCAGGTTTGAGGTGCAGGTTTGAGGTGCAGGTTTGAGGTGCAGGTTTGAGGTGCAGGTTTGAGGTGCAGGTTTGAGGTGCAGGTTGGAGGTGCAAGTTTGAGGTGCAGGTTTGAGGTGCAGGTTTGAGGTGCGGGTTTGCGGTGCAGGTTGGAGGTGCAGGTTGGAGGTGCAGGTTTGCGGTGCAGGTTTGAGGTGCAGGTTTGAGGTGCAGGTTTGAGGTGCAGGTTTGAGGTGCAGTTGGAGGTGCAGGTTTGAGGTGCAGGTTTGAGGTGCAGGTTTGAGGTGCAGGTTTGAGGCGCAGGTTTGAGGTGCAGGTTTGAGGTGCAGGTTGGAGGTGCAGGTTGGAGGTGCAGGTTTGAGGTGCAGGTTTGAGGTGCAGGTTTGAGGTGCAGGTTGGAGGTGCAGGTTGGAGGTGCAGGTTGGAGGTGCAGGTTGGAGGTGCAGGTTTGAGGTGCAGGTTTGAGGTGCAGTTTTTAGGTGCAGGTTTGAGGTGCAGGTTTGAGGTGCAGGTTGGAGGTGCAAGTTTGAGGTGCAGGTTTGAGGTGCAGGTTTGAGGTGCAGGTTGGAGGTGCAAGTTTGAGGTGCAGGTTTGAGGTGCAGGTTTGAGGTGCGGGTTTGCGGTGCAGGTTGGAGGTGCAGGTTGGAGGTGCAGGTTTGAGGTGCAGGTTTGAGGTGCAGGTTTGAGGTGCAGGTTTGAGGTGCAGGTTTGAGGCACAGGTTTGAGGTGCAGGTTTGAGGTGCAGGTTGGAGGTGCAGGTTGGAGGTGCAGGTTGGAGGTGCAGGTTGGAGGTGCAGGTTTGAGGTGCAGGTTTGAGGTGCAGGTTGGAGGTGCAGGTTGGAGGTGCAGGTTGGAGGTGCAGGTTGGAGGTGCAGGTTTGAGGTGCAGGTTTGAGGTGCAGGTTTGAGGTGCAGGTTGGAGGTGCAGGTTTGCGGTGCAGGTTTGCGGTGCAGGTTTGAGGTGCAGGTTTGAGGTGCAGGTTTGAGGTGCAGGTTTGAGGTGCAGGTTTGAGGTGCAGGTTTGAGGTGCAGGTTTGAGGTGCAGGTTGGAGGTGCAAGTTGGAGGTGCAGGTTGGAGGTGCAAGTTGGAGGTGCAAGTTGGAGGTTGGAGGTGCAGGTTGGAGGTGCAGGTTTGAGGTGCAGGTTTGAGGTGCAGGTTTGAGGTGCAGGTTGGAGGTGCAGGTTTGAGGTGCAGGTTGGAGGTGCAAGTTTGAGGTGCAGGTTTGAGGTGCAGGTTTGAGGTGCGGGTTTGCGGTGCAGGTTGGAGGTGCAGGTTTGCGGTGCAGGTTTGAGGTGCAGGTTTGAGGTGCAGGTTTGAGGTGCAGGTTGGAGGTGCAGGTTTGAGGTGCAGGTTTGAGGTGCAGGTTGGAGGTGCAGGTTTGAGGTGCAGGTTTGAGGTGCAGGTTTGAGGTGCAGGTTTGAGGTGCAGGTTTGAGGTGCAGGTTGGAGGTGCAGGTTGGAGGTGCAGGTTGGAGGTGCAGGTTGGAGGTGCAGGTTTGAGGTGCAGGTTTGAGGTGCAGGTTTGAGGTGCAGGTTGGAGGTGCAGGTTTGAGGTGCAGGTTTGAGGTGCAGGTTTTAGGTGCAGGTTTGAGGTGCAGGTTTGAGGTGCAGGTTTGAGGTGCAGGTTGGAGGTGCAAGTTTGAGGTGCAGGTTTGAGGTGCAGGTTTGAGGTGCGGGTTTGCGGTGCAGGTTGGAGGTGCAGGTTGGAGGTGCAGGTTTGAGGTGCAGGTTAGAGGTGCAGGTTTGAGGTGCAGGTTTGAGGTGCAGGTTTGAGGTGCAGGTTTGAGGTGCAGGTTTGAGGTGCAGGTTTGAGGTGCAGGTTGGAGGTGCAGGTTTGAGGTGCAGGTTTGAGGTGCAGGTTGGAGGTGCAGGTTTGAGGTGCAGGTTTGAGGTGCAGGTTTGAGGTGCAGGTTGGAGGTGCAGGTTTGAGGTGCAGGTTTGAGGTGCAGGTTGGAGGTGCAGGTTTGAGGTGCAGGTTTGAGGTGCAGGTTGGAGGTGCAGGTTTGAGGTGCAGGTTTGAGGTGCAGGTTGGAGGTGCAGAAGAGAGCCTCCACTGTGAGCTGTCGGCCTATGGCCGCCAGGATGGCCGTCAACGAGCGACACGCACGGCACGACATGGCACGACATGGCACCACAGGGTACTAAATGGCACTCCATGGTATCCCATGGTACCGCACCGCACTGCACTACATCCCATGGTGGCCATGGCTGTGAGCGAGTCACACGCCTCCATCTGGCGTGGGGCCACGTACGATAGGGCAGAGGCTGAGCTGGGAGCGGCAGGCGGGGCGACGACGGGCGTGCCATTGCAGAGAAAATAAGGGTTGAGGGTACAAGGGAGGGGTCGCAGTTGGATTCTTTGTGCTTCAGGAGTGGCAGAACGGAGGGGTACGAATTTTATAGGGAGTGAAAGAGGGATGGATAGGGATGAGTGAGCCTTTCAAGGTGCTTCAAGCGTGGAGTGCGCGGGCCTTAGCAGTGCTCATAGTGATACCCATCATCCATTTCCGGGGATCACCCCACCTTGCTGTGTGTGAGCGCGTCTGACAGCCGCGGCTGCACCATCTGCTCCAACCGATCCTCCAGCGATTGAAGCTGCCTCTTGTTCGCTGCAAACTCCGGCGCCTGATGGACAGACGATTGAGAGGGGGATAGGGGAAGTGCCGAAGCGGTAGGCGCAGACGTGAGAGAGACAATGGCGGGGAGGACGAGAGAGGAGGGATGCGCAAGGCGAGCGGACGCATTGGACATGGGGCGTGGGGCACGGGCATGGGGTATGCAGCAGAGGTGATGGGACATGGGGTACGGGGTGTTACAGGCCACAGGGACAGAAGCGGAGGCAGGTGCAATGGGGACTCACATCGCCCACCACCTCCAGGCAGCGCCGCATGTTGGCCAGTGTCTCAGCGACACGTGGCAGGTCGCCACTGGCGAACACCTGCTCCACTGACGCGCTCAGCTGTGCCAAGCCTGCCGCGTACTGTGGTGGCAGAGGGATGAGGGGTGAGAAAAAGAAAAGAGAGGGAAGGGCAGGGGGGAGTGGAGAGGGTAAGGGGAGTGGGAGAAGAGGAAGCGGGAAATGGAGAGGGGGAAGGAGAATGGTGAAGGGGAGGGGGAGGGGAAGGGGGGAAAGGCAAGGCAACCGTGAGTGAGGGAAGAGGGGGATGATGGTAGGGACGATGGAGAGGGAATGGAGGTGGGGGGGGAGAAAGGGCCTGCTGCTCACCTGGAGCGTGTCTCTCGCCGCCTCCATCTGCTGCTCACCTGGAGCGTGTCTCTCGTTTCTGAGTCGACTCAAAATCAGACTCACCTGGAGCGTGTCTCTCGTTTCTGACTCACCTGGAGCGTGTCTCTCGCCGCCTCCATCTGCTGCTTCACTGCATCCACCTTCGCCAGCACCGCCACGGATGCTGCTGACGTAGCCTCCACCTGATCCAGCTCAGCACAAGGAAAGACACGTACACACATGGGCACAAGTTTATATATATTCACATGCATGTATACTCGTGTATAGATCCCCACACAGCCCTGCAAACTCCCTCTCCCCCCCCCCACTTCCTCCTCCAACCCCCTCTCTTACCCCCCTCTCCTACACTTCCTCCCCCTTCCCCCCTGATTCCCCCCCAACTTGCCTGCCGTTCCCCTCCTGCGCACACTACCCCCATCCCTCCCATCTCCTCCCCCCCCCGGCTGCGGCGCTGCAGGATGCTGGCCGCAGTGCCTTTAAGATATTGCCCTCCCTGACCGCCCCTGCTCCTGCCTGTCCCACTTTCACCCCGTCCCCCCCCTCCCCTCCACTTCCCTCCCCCCCCCACCACCTCCTTTCCCCTTACCCCCACGCACCTGCTGCAGGCGCTGCAGGATGCTGGCAACAGTGCCTTTGAGCGACACGGCGTCGTCGCGCACGCGCTTCGTCTCCCTCACGGCGCGCGGCACTCTCAGCAGCGCGCCCGCGCTCTGCTCCTCCAACGCGCCGCCCATGTCCTCTGCACGCGTGTAGCACACGCACAGCACACACGCAGCACACACGCAGCATATAGACGTGTGAACTAGTTGGTAGCAATGACGAAGCATGGGACCTACTCCCTCACAGCACGCGGCACCCTCAGCAGCGCGCCCGAAATTCCATGACCATTGCCAGGACAATCGTACCCGATAAGAGCTGCAGCTTCATTTCAATGTCCGCGAGAAACTTCTCCGGAGGTTCCTCCGGCGGGAGCGCGGCGCACGCATCGTTGACCCACGCCTTGGGGTCGAAATGCTCGTCCGCGAACGCGTTCAGATCCACCAGCATCGCGACCACACTGCGACTGCGAAGTCCGTTTCACTCGCAGGGCCCGCCGAGAAAACGAGTTTGGTTTCAGCGGAAGTTCGTTTCTCTCGCAGCAAGAAAAGCACGGGCCGATAATGCCGATCAGTCACGAGCATCCGACAGGATTATACACGTATATGTATAGACATGTATAGGTTCTGTCATCTGTGGTCGACGATCTGCTTATCATCAGCGCGCCATGTTCACGTGAGGCATGAATCTGTGCTCGATTGTTCATTCACCCTTCTTCCAGAGATGACTACTTTTAAGGGTCTCCGCTATCTCTACATGTCCTATAACCATCCTAAGTTTAGAACAAAGATATTTCAGAGATGGGAGATGAGAGGCAGGAGAAAAGAATTCGGGAATGGAGACAGAGATGGGAGATGGGAGTTTTGGGAGAAAATATGGAGAAGGGATTGCCATCAGTTTCTCCCCATTTTAGACCCCTCTTTGTAGTTAACTATTAATATACTGAAAAAATAATTTAGAAAAGATTTTTTGGAGAATTATATTTAAAATATCGATGAAACAGCATGATATGCACATATTATACAGAAATAGTTAAATGGTTGCTCAACCTAGAAGTCCCATAAGGTGTTGCAGATTCTCAACATCAATAAAATCGATAATCAGTATCTGATAAGGAAGATATAGTGCAGCACCCGCCAACAGAGCCCACCAACCAACCTCGTTTGTACTGTGCAATCCTGCTCAATCACAATCCTTCCTCCTCCCCACATGGCTGCAGCAGCACTCGTGGAGTGGACTCATCATGGTCCGTCCTTGCTGGTGGCCTACTGGACTGATCTCTTACTCACTGCTGCTGCTGCTGCTGCTGCCTACTCAGTTCTCTGTCCATCCGTACGCACGCAGGCACCACCTGCTCTGAGGAGCACTGCTGCTTGTCTGCTGCTTGCTCTTGCATTGCTCCCAGCCTTATCAACACACTTCACTCTGCAGTCGTTTTTTTAACCAGGCATTTTACTGCAGTGAGCGAAAGGGAATGGAGGTAGAAACTGCTCGTTTCAAAATGGGCAGCTCTGGTGTCTTGTCGTCGTAATCCGAGGCTTCCCCCGCGTTGATAGGTCGACTCATCAGGACGCGCTTCCTCGCTCGCGCGCTAGGCTCATTCTCCTTCGGGGGCTGCACAACTCAACGGAGTAGCGTCCGAGCGAGCACGTAGTATCCCATTTGTCGGACGCGGCGCGTCTCGCGATTTTGTACATCTTATGAACAATGCCAGCCGCAGAGGGATAAACCGCACGGCGCGCATTGTCCACAGCACGTGGGGATGTATTGAGGCATGCGCTGAGGTCGGCCGGTCGCCGTAATGTAGGCATGTGATGCATCGAATCCGTTAAATGGAGTGGTAACCAGGTCGTTTCGTTCGTCGCATTGCAGTTTCAAGTCGCACACTGTCGCCCGCTCGACGCATTTTCGTTCCGAGTCGTCGCGGGACCGCTGCACGCGCAGACAGGAAAACCCCATGCGAGTCGCATTGATAGCTACATCCGCGAAGCTTTTCGCTGAAGGTCGCGCCGTGCGATGGCGTTTCGCCCGCCATCGTCGCACGGCCAGGGGCACGGCGGCGAGGTGAGGGGGCTTGGGGGGCGCGCGGAGAAGCCGGGCGGCGAGGGGAAGGTGCTCGGGCGCGCGGAGAAGTCGGGCGGAGAGGGGCGCAGCCATGGGCGCGCGGAGAAGCCGCCGACGAGCATGAAGGACGGCAGCTGGATCTCCGCGGACGCGCTCCAGCAGCAGCACGGCGCACCATGGAACGCGCAGGTGAGCGCTGCGCACCACGGCGCGCCTCGCGCCTCGCATTGAAAAGCCCTGAAGCTTCCCATGCCCCCACCTACCCCTCCCTTCTTCCCCCTACCTGATTCCTCTCCAATTCCGCCCTTCCTCCCGCCATCGCTTTGCCTTCGCCTCCGCGATGCATCACATTCCCGCGCCTCTCTCCCTAACCTCCCTCCCCCGCGCCTTTCGTCTCCGCGCCTCTCTCCGCCACTCGTTCCCCCCCATGCAGGCGGGGCGGGCACGACGCCTGAAGCCGCGCGCGTGGCGAGCTGCGTTCGACGCGGAGGGGCGTCTCGTGCGCATGCCAGCCGTTCTGCGCGCTGTGCTGGACGGGGTGAGAATGGGGGGAAGCAGGGTGAGCGGGCGGGACAGTAGGAAGGCAAGGGCATCCCCCGTCTCGTGCGCATGCCCGCCGTGCTGCGCGCCATGCTGGACGGGGTGAGAGCGGGGGAGGGAGAGCGTGGGGGGAGCGGGCGGGACAGTAGGAAAGGCAAGGGGTGGGGGGGATCTGTCGGAAGGGCGTCCCCGTCTCGTGCGCAGCAGCAAGCAGCCAGTGCCAATGCCAACTGCTGTTTCCTTCCTACATGCTCTCCTCCTTTCTCTGTGCCTGGTGCGTGTTTGGGTGGTGCTTGCGTGGCGTGTGTCTGGCGTGTGCCTGGCGTGTGCCTGGTGCGTGCCTGGCATGTGTGTGGCACGTGCATGTGTGCGTGTTGCATACAGGGGGTGGATCGGTCGATACGAGGGGAGGTGTGGGAGTTCCTGCTGGGGTGCTTCTCTCTCGACTCCACCGCTGAAGAGCGCAACTACGTGCGCGCCGCCCGCCGGTGAGTCGCTGCCGCCCGCCAGTGAGTGCATGCTGCCCCACTCGCACACACTTGCACTCACTTGCACACAGTTATGAGACGTCACAAAACCCACATGGACACACCATGTCCCCCTCTACCTCTCTCCTGCAGCACCCCATACACCCAAGTGAAGACTCCTCCTTCCCTCCCTTTACCACTTCCTCCCTGCTGCCAAACCCTAATCAGGGAGCGGTATGAGCAGCTGGTGCAGCAGTGCGCGCGCATGCATGGACGGGTGGGCACGGGGCAGCCGTCACACACCTAAGCGAACACTCCCCTTTCCCTCCCTTTCCCACTTCCTCCCTGCTGCCAAACCCTAATCAGGGAGCGGTATGAGCAGCTGGTGCAGCAGTGCGCGCGCATGCATGGACGGGTGGGCACGGGGCAGCCGTCACACACCTAAGCGAACACTCCCCTTTCCCTCCCTTTCCCACGTCCTCCCTGCTGCTAAACCCCAATCAGGGAGCGGTATGAGCAGCTGGTGCAGCAGTGCGCGCGCATGCACGGGCGGGTGGGCACGGGGCAGCCATCACACACCTAAGCGAACACTCCCCTTTCCCTCCCTTTCCCACGTCCTCCCTGCTGCTAAACCCCAATCAGGGAGCGGTATGAGCAGCTGGTGCAGCAGTGCGCGCGCATGCATGGACGGGTGGGCACGGGGCAGCCGTCACACACCTAAGCGAACACTCCCCTTTCCCTCCCTTTCCCACGTCCTCCCTGCTGCTAAACCCCAATCAGGGAGCGGTATGAGCAGCTGGTGCAGCAGTGCGCGCGCATGCACGGGCGGGTGGGCACGGGGCAGCCATCACACACCTAAGCGAACACTCCCCTTTCCCTCCCTTTCCCACGTCCTCCCTGCTGCTAAACCCCAATCAGGGAGCGGTATGAGCAGTTGGTGCAGCAGTGTGCGCGCATGCATGGGCGGGTGGGCACGGGGCAGCTGGCCTTCCCCGTGGGTTCGCGCATCATGGACGTCCGCATCCTCACCGCCCGCTCCTCTGAGCCTCCTACCGCCGCCGCCGCCGCTGCGGATTCTACCGCTCCTGCTGCTGCCACTGCCGCCGCCGCTGCTGCTGGTGGTGCTGGCAGTGGTATGGATGGCGGTGGGAGGGGCGGCATTGGTAGGGACGGCAGGGGCGCAGAGGAGGGCAGCTTCAGGCAGAGCAGCGTTACAACAACGATGGTGACAGTGGCTGCTGGTGCCACCACCACCACTACCACCACCACCACCACTACCACAAGCACCACGACCATCAGCAGCAGCAGCACGGGCATTCCAGCTAGCAGCATTGGCAGACCGGGTAGTGGCAGCAGCAGCGGCAGAATTTCCACTCCCTCCACCCCGGCCATCAGCAGCAGCAGCGGCGTTACCAACTCCCTCACCAGCACCCCCACTCCCACCACCACCAGCAACAGCGGCGGCACCGGCACCAGCAGCAGCATCGTGCTGCCGCGGCCACGCAGCGGCTCCTCAAGCTCTGCAGCAGACAAGTTCCCGCGCCAGTTCTCCGATAAGAGCGCCGGGAGTGGCAGCAACCCAACGTTTCGCATGGAACAGCTGATGGAGGAGGGCGGGCCGCGGTTGCACTCGTCGTCCTTCTCCTTCCCCCTCGACCTGCTTGACCTTGAAGACCCAAGGGCACTGCTTGGTGGTGGGGGGGGGGAGGAGGACGAGGAGGAGGATGATGAGGAGGATGATGAGGAGGGGGATGGGGAGGAGGAGGGGGAGGATGGGGAAGGGGGGGATGGGGAGAAGGAAAGGGAAGGGGGTGTGGGCATGGGACACGAAAAGAGGAAGGCGAAGGGGAGGAAAGGGGCGGAGGGCGGAGGATGGGGAGGGGGAGGTGAGGGGGCGGGAGGGAAGGAGAGGAAGGGGGGAATGGAAGAGATGAGGGCAAAGTGGGCGCGGGAGAGGCAGAGGCGGTATGAGAGGGTGGACCACTCACACCCCCCACATGCCAGGGCCAGCGGTGGCGGTGGCGGGAGAGGAGGGGGAGCAGGGAGGACTGGAGAAGGGTTTGGAGGAGCAGGGGCAGGAGGAGGAGGAGGAGGAGGAGGAGCAGTGGGAATGCGGGATGGCAGCAGCAGGTCTCAGCGCACACGCAGCACCGATGTGGGGCTGCTGACGGGGCGAGCAGTAGGAGCGGTGGGTGCAAACGCGCCTCTCACGCGCGCCCGCAGTGCTCGCACAGACGACCCCCTCCCTGCTCCCCCTGTTGCTGCGCCTTGTGCTGCTACTGTGGAGGGCTCGCAGTCAGGCAGCACAGGCACAGGCAGAACGCCAGGGGAATGTGACAGCTTAGCCGGTGCTGATGTCACAGGCGGTGGTGCTGATGGTGCTGGAAATGCAGATGGTGCAGCGGGGGCAGATGCAGCGGTGTGGCAAGCAGCAGCAGCAGGTGGCGAGGAGGGGGAGGGGAGCTGCCCGGACGATGGGGTGGGTGGGGAGGGGCAGCGGCGCAAAGGCAAGAAGAAATGGACCAGACTGCTGCCGGGCAAGGGGAAGGAAGGGAGGGAAGGGAAGGAGGGCAGGGAGGGCAAGGAGGGCAAGGAGGTAAAGGAGGGGAGAGAGGGGAGGGAGGGCAAGGAGGGGAGGGAGGGCAAAGAGGGAAAGGGACGGCTGCTGACAGGGGTTGGATCCGTTAGTGGCAACGCCCTGCTGGACCCAGACGTCCTCGTTATAGAGCAAGGAGGCGAGGTGGAGGAAGAGGAGGAGGGTGGGGGGCTAGGTGCAGAGGAGGAGGGTTCTGCCACAGGAGGAGGCGGAGGGGAAGGGGGGATGGGCGGGGGAGCAGGGGGAGAGGGCAAGGGGCCGTGGCAGAGGGGAGTGAAGAGTGTGAAGAAAGCACATAAGAAGCTGCGGGGGTACTTGGGTGCAGGGGAGAGCGCAGGGGGGGGGGAGGGGCATGTGGAAAGTGGGGACGGGGGTGAGGGGGGCGAGCGGGGGGCGAGGGCGGGCGGAGCAGTGCGGGAGGGGGCGGGTGCGGGGGGTGTGGGGGGTGGAGGGGGTGTGGGTGTGGGGAGAGCGGGAGTGGGAATGGGAGCGGAAGGGGGAGGGCTGGGGGGGCTGGGAGGGGGGATGGGGGGGAATCAGAGGGGGTTGATGGCGGGGGGAAACCGGCTGAAGAAGGTGCTGAGTGCTGACTGGGGGGGTGTGTCTGTAGACGATCTCCTTGCTTCCATCCGCAACCCCACCCACTCCTCTGCCACCCCCGCCAGCAATCCCACCACTACCACTGCTAACACTGCAAGCACTGCCACTGCCGCTACCAACGCTGCGAGCACTGGCAGTAGTGGCAGCGGCGGCGGCAGTGGCAGCATTGCAAACGCATCTGGGATTCCAAAGGGGAATAGAATGGGGAGTGTTGGGGATGGTAGCAGTGCGAGCAGTGGAGGTGGTGGCGGTGGTGGTGGTGGTGGGTGGGGAGAGCGGCGGCGGGGAAAGGACGGGGGGACAAGTGAATTGGGGAGTGTTTCGGAGAGAGTAGAAGGGGAGGGGGAGGAAGGAGAGAGGGAAGAAAGGGAAAGAGAGGAGGGGCAGAGGGAGGAGGGGGAGTGGCAAGTGGTGGGGGCAGCAGAGTGGGATGGGCGCGGGGCAGGTGCAGGGGAGAGTGGGGTGCATGAGGGCAGGAAGCAGCGAGTTGGGGGGTCGGAACGGAGAGAGGCTGGGTGGGAGGTAGAGGAGGAAAACGAGAAAGAGGAGGGAGAGGATGGCTGGGGGCTTGGATTCGTGGGGGGAGGGGGAAGCTTCCGTGAAGGTGCAGCAGGAGGAGGGGCAGCAGCAGCGGCAGAGGGTGGTGAAGCAGAGAGGAGAGGAAAGCTAGGGGCTGGGACGAGGAGAGAGGAGGAGGGACGTGGGGGCGCTGTGCGGGTGGCAGAGGAAGAAGAGGAGGAGGAGGTGGAGGAGGGGGAAGAGGAAGGGCCCTGTGCTGCAGGCAGAACACTGAGTGCTGAGGTTGAAGGGGGGCGGAGGAGAGGAGTAGCAGCAGGAGGACGAGGGGAGAGAGGGGGAGGAAGAGAGGAGAGAGGGGAGGGGGAGGAAGAGAGGAGAGAGGGGGAGGAGGAGGAGGAGGGGTGGAGAAAACTGGGCTGTTTGTGGGCAGCGCGAGGAGCGAGTGGAGCGAGAGGAGCGAAAAGAGCGAGGGGAGCGATGGGGCAGGCGGGGGGGAGAAGCGGGGGGGGGCAGCATCCTGCAGGCGTATGTGAGGCAGCGGTCGTTCAACGGCCGCAACCCCACGGCGGAGCAGGTGTGGTCGTGGATCCTGGGCCACGATGATGATGCCGACGCTGGTGGGGATGGTGGGGATGGAGGAGTTGGAGATGGGGGAGGTGATGGGGACGGGGGGTGCGGTGACGGTGGTGCTGGTGGGGGTAATGGTGATGGGGGAGGCGATGGGGGCGCGGGGGAGGGTGGTGCGGGGGAGGGGGCGGGAAGGAAGGAGGGGGAAGGCGGGGAGGGGAAGGAGGGGGAGGAGGAAGAGGAGGGGGGCGATGCGCGGCTGACGGTTGATCCAGTGGTGGCAGAGCAACTGGGGGTGACTCCTGAGAGGGTGGCGGAGTGGCTGTGGACGCTGCATAAGATATGTGAGTTTCAAACAAGGTGCACTCGTTAGTTGCCTTCTGTAAGCCCTCAACCCCAAAGCTCTGCTGCCTAAACGCATTCCCAGCAATGGATGTGGAGCGCGCGGACCGCCACATGGCCTTCACTGCATGGTAGATCCACAAACACTTCCTTTTCTCCCGTTTCTCCCCTCCTCTCCCCCCTTTCTGCTCCCTCCTCCCCTCAGCGGTGGACGTGAAATGCACATACCGGCAAATGGCCGCCCTTGTACGCAGCACATAGGAACCCTAATGCTCTCCTTATGCCAGCTGGTCTTCAACCCTCCCCTCACTCTTCCCAACCTGCGCTCTCCCTCCTCCCCTCCAGTACGTGGATCGCAGCAACCTGGCGGCCACGAGTGACATCCACCGCCAGTGAGAGAGTTAGTTACCGATGTAGCTGCTGCCTCCCCTCGCCTATGCCCTCTTCTCTCCCCTTCCCTCTCCCCTTGCAGCGGTGGACGTGGAGCGCACTGACAGGCACATGGCGTTCTACGCGGATCGCAGCAACCAATGTAGTTGCTGCATCCCCTCTCCTATGCCTTCTCCTCCGCCCTGCTCCCTTGTTCCCCTCCTCCCCTCTCTCTCCCCTTGCAGCGGTGGACGTGGAGCGCACTGACAGGCACATGGCGTTCTACGCGGATCGCAGCAACCAATGTAGTTGCTGCATCCCCTCTCCTATGCCTTCTCCTCCGCCCTGCTCCCTTGTTCCCCTCCTCCCCTCTCTCTCCCCTTGCAGCGGTGGACGTGGAGCGCACTGACAGGCACATGGCGTTCTACGCGGATCGCAGCAACCAATGTAGTTGCTGCATCCCCTCTCCTATGCCTTCTCCTCCGCCCTGCTCCCTTGTTCCCCTCCTCCCCTCTCTCTCCCCTTGCAGCGGTGGACGTGGAGCGCACAGATAGGCACATGGCGTTCTACGCGGATCGCAGCAACCTGGCAGCCATGAGCGACATTCTGGCCGTGCACGTGTGGATCGATCCTGCCACTGGCTTCTGCCAAGGTATGCCATTTGCTTAAGGTATAGGCTGTGAAAGCACAAGGTGGGCTGCGGTGCCACATGGTGTGCCTCCCTGCACATGCCCTTGCTTGCATCTCCCATGTGCCATCGCACCACCATGTGCCATCGCACCACCATGTGCCATCGCACCACCATGTGCCATCGCACCACCATGTGCCATCGCACCACCATGTGCCATGCCATCGCACCATGTGCCATGCCATCGCACCATGTGCCATGCCATCGCACCATGTGCCATGCCATCGCACCATGTGCCGTGCCATCGCACCATGTGCCGTGCCATCGCACCATGTGCCATGCCATCGCACCATGTGCCATGCCATCGCACCATGTGCCATGCCATCGCACCATGTGCCATGCCATCGCACCATGTGCCATGCCATCGCACCATGTGCCATGCCATCGCACCATGTGCCATGCCATCGCACGTGTGGCACTGAACGCACATCTCACCTGCTGCCCCTCCACCGTGCATGCGTGCAGGCATGTGCGACCTGCTATCGCCCTTCATCATCCTCTTCCCGCACCCCGCCGACGCCTTATCCATCCCACCATGTACCATCTTTCACCTACTGCCCCTCCTCCGTGCAGGCATGTGCGACCTGCTATCGCCCTTCATCATCCTCTTCCCGCACCCCGCCGACGCCTTCTGGTGCTTCGAAAGCCTCTTCTCCAGAATCGTGAGTCACTCTCTTCCCCTTTGTCTCTGCTCCCTCAACCTTCCCCTTCTCTCATCTGCTCACATCCCCTCACTTTGCGGATGAGTGCATTTGTTCTGGTACCGGTTTCCCGGTTTACCGGTATCCCGGTTTCCCGGTTTCCCTGTTTCCCGGTTTCCCGGTATCCCGGTTTCCCGGTTTCCCGGTTTCCCAATTTCCCGGTATCCCGGTTTCCCGGTTTCCCCGTACCCCGGTATCCCAGTATCCCAGTTTCCCAGTTTGGTATCCCGGTTTCCCGGTTTCCCGGTATCCCGGTTTCCCGGTTTCCCGGTTTCCCGGTATCCCGGTATCCCGGTTTCCCGGTTTCCCGCCTTTCCTGTTTCCCACTATCTCGGTATCCCGGTTTCCCGGTTTCCCGGTTTCCCGGTTTCCCTGTTTCCCGATTTCCCGGTATCCCCTTATCCCGGTATCCCGGTATCCCGGTATTCCGGTATCCCGGTTTCCCGGTTTCCCGGTTTCCCGGTATCCCGGTTTCCCGGTTTCCCGGTTTCCCGGTCTCCCGGTCTCCCGGTATCCCGGTCTCCCGGTATCCCGGTTTCCCGGTTTCCCGGTTTCCTTTCCCGGTTTCCCGGTTTCCCGGTATCCCGGTTTCCCGGTTTCCCGGTTTCCCGGTATCCCGCTATCCCGCTATCCCGGTTTCCCAGTTTGGTATCCCGGTTTCCCGGTATCCCGGTTTCCCGGTTTCCCGGTATCCCGGTATCCCGGTTTCCCGGTTTCCCGGTTTCCCGTTTTTCCTGTTTCCCGGTATCCCGGTTTCCCGGTTTCCCGGTTTCCCGGTTTCCCTGTTTCCCGATTTCTTGGTATCCCGGTATCCCGGTATCCCGGTATCCCGGTATCCCGGTTTCCCGGTTTCCCGGTATCCCGGTATCCCGGTTTCCCAGTTTCCCGGTATCCCGGTATCCCGGTTTCCCGGTTTCCCGGTTTCCCGGTTTCCCGGTCTCCCGGTATCCCGGTTTCCCGGTTTCCCGGTTTCCCGGTTTCCCGGTTTCCCGGTATCCCGGTTTCCCGGTTTCCCGGTTTCCTTTCCCGGTTTCCCGGTTTCCCGGTATCCCGGTTTCCCGGTATCCCGGTATCCCGGTATCCCGGTTTCCCAGTTTGGTATCCCAGTTTCCCGGTTTCCCGGTATCCCGGTTTCCCGTTTTCCCGGTATCACGGTATCCCGGTTTCCCGGTTTCCCGGTTTCCCGTTTTTCCTGTTTCCCGGTATCCCGGTTTCCCGGTTTCCCGGTTTCCCGCTTCCCGGTTTCCCGGTTTCCCGGTTTCCCGGTTTCCCTGTTTCCCGATTTCCCGGTATCTTGGTATCCCGGTATCCCGGTATCCCAGTTTCCCGGCTTCCCGGTATCCCGGTATCCCCTTATCCCGGTATCCCGGTATCCCGGTATCCCGGTTTCCCGGTTTCCCGGTCTCCCGGTTTCCCAGTTTCCCGGTATCCGGTATCCCGGTATCCCGGTTTCCCGGTTTCCCGGTATCCCGGTTTCCCGGTTTCCCGGTTTCCCGGTATCCCGGTTTCCCGGTTTCCCGGTTTCCCGGTATCCCGGTTTCCCGGTTTCCCGGTATCCCGGTTTCCCGGTTTCCTTTCCCGGTTTCCCGGTATCCCGGTTTCCCGGTATCCCGGTTTCCCGGTTTCCCGGTATCCCGGTATCCCGGTTTCCCAGTTTGGTATCCCGGTTTCCCGGTTTCCTGGTATCCCGGTTTCCCGGTTTCCCGGTTTCCCGGTATCCCGGTATCCCGGTTTCCCGGTTTCCCGGTTTCCCGTTTTTCCTGTTTCCCGGTATCCCGGTATCCCGGTATCCCGGTTTCCCGGTTTCCCGGCTTCCCGGTTTCCCGGTTTCCCGGTTTCCCGATTTCCCGGTATCTTGTTATCCCGGTATCCTGGTATCCCGGTATCCCGGTTTCCCAGTTTCCCGGTATCCCGGTATCCTGGTTTCCCGGTTTCCCGGTTTCCCGGTCTCCCGGTCTCCCGGTATCCCGGTTTCCCGGTATCCCGGTTTCCCGGTTTCCCGGTTTCCCGGTTTCCTTTCCCGGTTTCCCGGTTTCCCGGTATCCCGGTTTCCCGGTATCCCGGTTTCCCGGTTTCCCGGTTTCCCGGCTTCCCGGTTTCCCGGTTTCCCGATTTCCCGGTATCTTGTTATCCCGGTATCCCGGTATCCCGGTATCCCGGTTTCCCAGTTTCCCGGTATCCCGGTATCCTGGTTTCCCGGTTTCCCGGTTTCCCGGTCTCCCGGTCTCCTGGTATCCCGGTTTCCCGGTATCCCGGTTTCCCGGTTTCCCGGTTTCCCGGTTTCCTTTCCCGGTTTCCCGGTTTCCCGGTATCTTGGTTTCCCGGTATCCCGCTATCCCGCTATCCCGGTTTCCCAGTTTGGTATCCCGGTTTCCCGGTTTCCCGGTATCCCGGTTTCCCGGTTTCCCGGTTTCCTGGTATCCCGGTATCCCGGTTTCCCGGTTTCCCGTTTTTCCTGTTTCCCGGTTGCCCGGTTTCCCGGATTCCCGGTTCCCGGTTTCCCGGTTTCCCGGTTTCCAGGTATCCCGGTATCCCCTTATCCCGGTATCCCGGTATCCCGGTATCCCGGTTTCGGTGTTTCCCGGTTTCCCGGTCTCCCGGTCTCCCGGTATCCCGGTCTCCCGGTATCCCGGTTTCCCGGTTTCCCGGTTTCCTTTCCCGGTTTCCCGGTTTCCCGGTATCCCGGTTTCCCGGTTTCCCGGTTTCCCGGTATCCCGCTATCCCGCTATCCCGGTTTCCCAGTTTGGTATCCCGGTTTCCCGGTATCCCGGTTTCCCGGTTTCCCGGTATCCCGGTATCCCGGTTTCCCGGTTTCCCGGTTTCCCGTTTTTCCTGTTTCCCGGTATCCCGGTTTCCCGGTTTCCCGGTTTCCCGGTTTCCCTGTTTCCCGATTTCTTGGTATCCCGGTATCCCGGTATCCCGGTATCCCGGTATCCCGGTTTCCCGGTTTCCCGGTATCCCGGTATCCCGGTTTCCCAGTTTCCCGGTATCCCGGTATCCCGGTTTCCCGGTTTCCCGGTTTCCCGGTTTCCCGGTCTCCCGGTATCCCGGTTTCCCGGTTTCCCGGTTTCCCGGTTTCCCGGTTTCCCGGTATCCCGGTTTCCCGGTTTCCCGGTTTCCTTTCCCGGTTTCCCGGTTTCCCGGTATCCCGGTTTCCCGGTATCCCGGTATCCCGGTTTCCCAGTTTGGTATCCCAGTTTCCCGGTTTCCCGGTATCCCGGTTTCCCGTTTTCCCGGTATCACGGTATCCCGGTTTCCCGGTTTCCCGGTTTCCCGTTTTTCCTGTTTCCCGGTATCCCGGTTTCCCGGTTTCCCGGTTTCCCGCTTCCCGGTTTCCCGGTTTCCCGGTTTCCCGGTTTCCCTGTTTCCCGATTTCCCGGTATCTTGGTATCCCGGTATCCCGGTATCCCAGTTTCCCGGCTTCCCGGTATCCCGGTATCCCCTTATCCCGGTATCCCGGTATCCCGGTATCCCGGTTTCCCGGTTTCCCGGTCTCCCGGTTTCCCAGTTTCCCGGTATCCGGTATCCCGGTATCCCGGTTTCCCGGTTTCCCGGTATCCCGGTTTCCCGGTTTCCCGGTTTCCCGGTATCCCGGTTTCCCGGTTTCCCGGTTTCCCGGTATCCCGGTTTCCCGGTTTCCCGGTATCCCGGTTTCCCGGTTTCCTTTCCCGGTTTCCCGGTTTCCCGGTATCCCGGTTTCCCGGTATCCCGGTTTCCCGGTTTCCCGGTATCCCGGTATCCCGGTTTCCCAGTTTGGTATCCCGGTTTCCCGGTTTCCTGGTATCCCGGTTTCCCGGTTTCCCGGTTTCCCGGTATCCCGGTATCCCGGTTTCCCGGTTTCCCGGTTTCCCGTTTTTCCTGTTTCCCGGTATCCCGGTATCCCGGTATCCCGGTTTCCCGGTTTCCCGGCTTCCCGGTTTCCCGGTTTCCCGGTTTCCCGATTTCCCGGTATCTTGTTATCCCGGTATCCTGGTATCCCGGTATCCCGGTTTCCCAGTTTCCCGGTATCCCGGTATCCTGGTTTCCCGGTTTCCCGGTTTCCCGGTCTCCCGGTCTCCCGGTATCCCGGTTTCCCGGTATCCCGGTTTCCCGGTTTCCCGGTTTCCCGGTTTCCTTTCCCGGTTTCCCGGTTTCCCGGTATCCCGGTTTCCCGGTATCCCGGTTTCCCGGTTTCCCGGTTTCCCGGCTTCCCGGTTTCCCGGTTTCCCGATTTCCCGGTATCTTGTTATCCCGGTATCCCGGTATCCCGGTATCCCGGTTTCCCAGTTTCCCGGTATCCCGGTATCCTGGTTTCCCGGTTTCCCGGTTTCCCGGTCTCCCGGTCTCCTGGTATCCCGGTTTCCCGGTATCCCGGTTTCCCGGTTTCCCGGTTTCCCGGTTTCCTTTCCCGGTTTCCCGGTTTCCCGGTATCTTGGTTTCCCGGTATCCCGCTATCCCGCTATCCCGGTTTCCCAGTTTGGTATCCCGGTTTCCCGGTTTCCCGGTATCCCGGTTTCCCGGTTTCCCGGTTTCCTGGTATCCCGGTATCCCGGTTTCCCGGTTTCCCGTTTTTCCTGTTTCCCGGTTGCCCGGTTTCCCGGATTCCCGGTTCCCGGTTTCCCGGTTTCCCGGTTTCCAGGTATCCCGGTATCCCCTTATCCCGGTATCCCGGTATCCCGGTATCCCGGTTTCGGTGTTTCCCGGTCTCCCGGTATCCCGGTTTCCCGGTTTCCCGGTATCCCGGTATCCCCTTATCCCGGTTTCCCGGTTTCCCGGTTTCCCGGTTTCCCGGTGTCCCGGTATCGCGGTATCCCGGTTTCTCAGTTGGGTATTCCGGTTTCCCGGTTTCCCGGTATCCCGGTTTCCCGGTTTCCCGTTTTCCTGGTATCGCGGTATCCCGGTTTCCCGGTTTCCCCTTTTCCCGTTATTCCTGTTTCCCGGTATCCCGGTTTCCCGGTTTCCCGGTTTCCCGGTTTCCCGGTATCCCGGTTTCCCGGTTTCCCGGTTTCCCGGTATCCCGATTTCCCGGTTTCCCGGTATCCCGGTATCCCGGTTTCCCAGTTTGG